TCGGGGTCAATGTCGCCAGTTTTGAGCCTATAGGCTTCGTGTCTGGGCTTGTGGGACGAGGTAGAAGCAATCGCCAGATCCGACTCATCCACGAGTACTCTGGAAGTGATAGTAGAGTTCTTCATATCGTTCTGATTCAAGTAAAGGACGATTCTTGGGAGTGAAATTTTTTCTCCTTCCAGTGGGTCGGTTCTTATGAGGCGTTTGCTGGGAAGCTCTTTCTATCCATTGTTTAATAAGCTTACAAATGTACTGCAACTTTTGAACTTTCTTCTCTTCATGCTTATCTATTTGAAGTACTTTACTTCTGCATTTGAGATATTCCTTCAAGTTTAGCTATGCTTTTGTGAGTCAACAATCCAAAGCTGAGCTGGATTGTCCATGTGGCAAGAAAAATTACTATTTCATACCCACCATTAAGATGTGGGATGGAAAATGTAACATTGCCACAAATATTAAATTTATATGATTAGTGGTAACCAAAAGAAGTTAAGTGGCCAACATGCAACTAAACTAAAACTTAAGTGGTATCCAGTACAATTAACCCTACAGATGTGGACCATTAAGCCTATTGAGCTTAACATCTGGTCGAAGCGGAATAAATCTTCCGTTCACTTTTCAAAGTAACAGCCTGTTTGGATAGGCTAAATTTTGAGGAAATGGAATTCCAATTCTCAAACTTTTCATGATTCTCATGTTTGGAAGTAAAAAATAAAAAGGAAATGGAATTCCAAAATGTAAAAAGTTGGAAATTCTAAATCCTACCAAAAGTGGTCGGGATTGGTGGAGGGAGTGATGGAATTAGTGGACTCCACATTAATTTTGACTCACCTTTACAAGAAAGCCCTTACTACTTTTGGATTTGAAATCATTAATATCAAAGATATTACTGTAAAAGCACTTGTAAGAAATCATTTCCAAACATAAAAAGATGAAATCATTTCCCTAACTTTTGGATTTGTTCCAAACATAAACTCTTGAATGAATTCCCACTTGAATTCAAATTCCCACAAGAAATGGAATTTATTTTCCAACAGAACAATTTTTTTTTTTTTTTTGACGAACCAACAGAACAAGCCGGTAAGGTAGTTTTGTGCTAGACCCGTTAACCAACGGCGTGAGAATCGAAATACACTTTTTAACATAAACATTGAGTGCTATTTCGCACCAATCAAAGTTTTCAATGACTCGACCGAACCCTTTCACAGAACCCACGAGGATGGTTTTGTCATTTATCCCTCTCATTAGGGTTTAGCTTGCTATTTAGTCTATCAAAGCCGGCCGCTGCTCTTGTTCCCTGCTTCGTCACCCGCCTCTACCTTCCGCCACTGCTTTGTGCTACAGACGACGGACCTCTTCGATGGTAAGCGAAATGTAGCAGCTGATTTCGCATCTGGGTTCTTCGATTCGTCCACGTTTCCACTTCTATATCCCGTGAATCTCCGATCTCTGTCGTTTAAAGTCGATTGATGTTTTTGCTTTTCGTCCCCCCTCAGGCGTTCGCCAAAGCCCAGAAGACCAGAGCATATTACAAGCGGTTTCAGGTCAAGTACAAGAGACGCCGCGGTAATGATTTTCATGAATCTCACTCTTTCCGCTACTCGATTCGGTTCATTGCTTGTTCTTCTGCGGATTCGTAGTTTGAGATTGTAGCACATTTGATTCTTTTGTAGATGGGAAGACGGATTATCGTGCTAGGATTCGCCTGATTAACCAGGACAAGAACAAGTACAATACTCCGAAGTACCGATTCGTTGTTCGCTTCGTATCCTTAGCTTATCTTCAATTATGGCGGTGTAGTTTGGATTTTGAGTATTCCGCGGGTTCATTGAGTTTGTTTTAGTTTAGACTGGAAAAACTTTTAATTAGTTTGATTGATTCCCTTGACAACATCTTCTTAGTCGAACAAAGATGTGGTAGCTCAGATTATCCACTCCACCATTGCTGGAGATCACGTCATGGCAGCTGCTTACTCTCACGAGCTCTCTCGCTATGGCCTTGAAGTTGGCCACACTAATTATGCTGCCGGTATTCCTTTAATGCCGTTTGTTAACGCTAGGTTTTCACCCTTATGCTATGAGTTGAGCTCAATTGTTGATGCTATATATGTGCAGCTTACTGCACTGGACTTCTCCTTGCCCGGAGAGTCCTGAAGATGCTTGAGTTGGATGAGGAATACCAAGGAAATGTTGAGGTAACATTCAACTCGGTTTCCCGCGTATTACAGTTGGTTATCTGATTTGTGGTTCTGTAGTTTGGATTGAGATTTTGACTCTATTGTGATTAACAGGCTAGCGGAGAGGATTATACTGTTGAACCAGCTGACAGGAGGCCCTTCCGTGCGCTTCTTGATGTTGGCCTTGTGAGGACCACTACTGGGAATCGTGTTTTTGGTGCCCTCAAGGTATGCAAATTTGCCATCTTGAAGTTATAATCGAAAAATGTTTTTTAAGGTCTTAATAGAAGTATAAGCTAGAACTGTGTTTGGTTTGACGAAAGTAGAGTTGATGTGTTGCATAATAGCTTTTAGTATCAGAAAGTAATTGATGAGATTGTATGAGGTTCTTCAACAATAAATAAAGGATATTGCCGAGTTGTGGGAAATGTTGTAATGTGCATAGCTTTAAGAATAAAATTTCTTATTTCAAAGTGATAAAGTTGAAAATTTTACTAGGATGGTTAAGGATGTATTTTTGTTTTGTAAAGTTCATATTGAAGACGCGTGTTTGATTTAGCTGTCAGGGCAACTATTTTGAACTCACTTTCCTTTCATCTTGTTAATTTTAGGGAGCACTCGATGGCGGACTTGATATCCCGCACAGCGAGAAGAGGTTTGCCGGGTTTAGCAAAGATAGCAAGCAGCTCGATGCTGAAGTTCACCGCAAATACCTCTATGGCGGCCACATCGCTTCCTACATGAGGGTATGGTTGTCTTTTCCTTTTTGCGAGAGCTATATGCAAAATCAATCATATGAATAAATGTCAAAATTTCTTTCTTTTGATGATTTTGGCAGAGCTTGCAAGAAGATGAGCCCGAGAAGTACCAGACTCACTTCAGCCAGTACTTGAAGAGAGGGCTTGGACCTGACGATATCGAAGAAGTGTACAAGAAGGTACATGCTGCCATCCGTGCTGACCCCACCGCTAAGAAATCTGATAAGCCGGCCCAAACTCAGCACAAGAGGTAAACTGCTGGCAGCCTAAGTTACTGAACATCCTATGCTGTTGGCTCTACTGGCTGGAAGATGGTATCTAACGGTCTTGTTTGTGACTCCTTTGCAGGTACAACCCCAAGAGGTTGACTTTTGATGAAAGGAGGCAGAAGTTGATTGATAGACTGAAGGCTCTGAACTCTGCTGCTGATGAGGATGATGATGATGAGTAGATGCAGCAGTAGCAGTAATTTGGAATTTGAAATGGCCATTTTGTTTAACTCTTACTTAGTAAGAAGAGGATTTGTTTGCGCTCGAGTTGCTGTTACGAACCGTGCTATATGTAGCTTGCTTTTTTGGCAGTTAAGTTCTTTTGCTGCTATGTTAAATGACAATTTTCGATGTGTTTTTGAGTTGCTTCTCAAGAGTCAAAGAAAGCTTGTTTGTCTTCCATGATGCAGTTATGTTCTCTAATCATATTCCGACTGACTTATTGCTAGTTTGCCATTATAACAAAATTGTTCGGAGTGCTTTCATATTATCATTGTTATCTTTGCAAATGCAGCATAAAATTGTGGCAAACTGTATTCTTCTTACCTACGGATATGTATTGCACGTTTGCAAGGCAACTAGGGCAGCAAATGAGACTTGGCAGAAAAGCTCATTTGGTAGTTAACTAACATACTAACAAGCCGAAGTTGAATTAAGCATTGTTCGAGTCGCAAGGCTCGTGAGCTAACTCGACTCGATGGCTTGTTGACATCAACTTATGAGCTAGCTCGTTTTGAACTATGAGCTGGTTCGACATCATGACTAGCGAGCTGTCTAAACTAGCAATCTATGAGCGAATCAATTAATAGCTTACCATTGGTTTGTTGATAATTCATAGGTTTGTTAGATTATATATCTCACTATTCATTACGTATAATGTTAAAGAATTTGAACATTGTGATCAAATATGTCTCATTATAATTTCCAAAAGAAATTATGTATATCACAGATTGCTCAAATAGTAATTACTATTAAATAACATGATATGGACAATTAAAAATTACGAACTAAATCATATCTTAGCTCGAGTCATTTTCGTGAGCTAATTGACGAGCGGAGCTCATTAGAGTTTGTGAGCTTATTAATGAGTGATGAGTCAACTTCGAGCAAACACAAGTCAAGATTTTAGTAAACAAGCTGGACTCGAGCTCGACTCGTTTATTAACAAGTCGAGTCTAAATTCGATCAAAACTCTACTCAATTTGGCTCATTTACAGCCATAGCGGACACTGAAACTTTATTACTTTTGAAAAGTCGCAGATGGCTCAAAATCTTAAATATTTTGTGAATGTTCATCTAAGCCCTAGCTTAAGCAAGATGTGGTAAATCAGTTCAAACTTTGTTGAGCAAAACTGAAAACCGTTAAATGTGCTATAACATTAAAATCTGACCGAATCATAAACCAAAAAAGAAAAGTTGATAAATTTTACCATTGATTAAAAACCGAAAGACCAAAATGTTAATGATCTTTATTAACGGATTTTAAATAAGTGATTTGAAGCATTTTCTAATAAGTTTGGCGTTATCATGATGTTTGGTCATGTAACTAGGCATAATCGAAAACTGTTTTAGCAAAAACATAAACCGATAGCATAAAACCAAAATCTAAAAACAATGCGTCACTTCACCGAAAATTATTGAAGACAATGAAAATACAGTCGAAATTGAAATTTCATCCATTTGGGTCATTTTTGTCCAAAATTACCAACGCATTTTTGCCTTATTTTATCTAAATGAAACTCGAACTGGACAAATTGGTAGAGACCAAAACAGAGGAAAACGTACGAAATATTAAACAAAGGGAATATGGTTAAATTCTATCATTTAAAGTTCCGAGGCATCAATTGCACCAAAATGTAAACCCATCATTCTTAACATCACATCACTGGATCAACAGAAACTAGTGAAATGTAGATAAATTCCAAACAGAAACCTTCAATCAGTTTCATGTTCTCTGCAGTTAACCACTTGGTTCACTGTAGATCAGTAGGAAAACGATGAACAAAAGTGGCTTTCTGGATATAACCGCTGCTCAAAAGCACCCCATAATGTATCCTTTGTTCCCCTTCGAAATGATTAATATCTACAACGAGCTGCAAGGAAATCATGATCATCTATTCATCAGCATCTTCTGGATCAAAATCTCTGATCTTCACATCTGCATCTTCTCCATACTGAATCGCATTGTCGATTTGAGCCAATACGTACTGAATGCTGTAGGAAATAACACACTGCCATTACTCTCTTCATTCATGCAAGATGATCCAAATGAACTGCATCCATTGTACTCAACTACTCAAGCATATCTAATTGTGTCATCAACCGGACTATAACGAGCCACCTTACATACAGAGAGAGAGAGAAAGAGAGTACCTTGTCTCTTTTCTCAAGTCAAGTGGGATGAAGCTCACCATACTGTACTCATCGACCTGAAACCAAAAGAAGAAGTCTCATTCAGGTTATGACAGACTTTCTGAAGAAATTATATTATTACTGTCTTTGAAGGAAGCGGGAGGAAGAAACCATCCCATCCGAACAAGAAAACCAACTGAAACGATTTATTTCTCACCAGTTCCATCAATGCTTTGTTTAACTTAAGAAACTGAGGACCCATGCGCTTATTAAGCTCAGCCAACAAAGTCACAGGCTCTGGAGTGAGGTAGCTGATAAAAGAAATATCAATTGGTTATATAATGAATAATGTTGGGGGAGAGCGAGAGGGGTCAGGGAATTACTCTTCAAGATGGCGTTTGTCGGTCACCAGGTCCATTTTGGACAGGAGGTTAACATGGGGCAATTCGAGCTGTATCATTGCAGAGAGGGATGCCATGCAGCCACTAATGAACTTGGTCACGTCTGTAATGAACTGATAGAAAAGGAAAAAGAATACCATTTCACCGAGCCAGTAAATCAAATGTTGCAAGCCAAATTTGATAAGATGAAACAAAAGTAATAATAACATAAAGGTACTTTCAACTAACCTGTGAATCAAGCAAATACACAGCACACACATTGAAATTCTTCCGCTGCAAATGTTCCACAAAGTTCTTAAGCACCGGAACATGTGAGAAAAGTTCTATCTGACCTGCACCGAGTTCAATCAGGTTACATAATTAGAATTTAAGTAGCTGCAAAGCAATGCTACTTCACCACCTGTTCTTTGTATTTACAGTACAAGGCTAACAAACACAGAAAAAGTTAACAGATAGAGAACTGCAGAAAAACCTGGGCAGTCGAAAACTAGGTAGTCATCATCCAAGTAGTTGTCCAGCTCCTCTGTCAACCAATCATCCAGACTGTCCTCTAGTTCTCTAATAATATGTATTAAGGATTCTCAAGTAGGATGTGGACATGGAACATAATAGGAAGAGTTGAGTCAAATCTCTCATCCAAACTCAAAATGGCTGTAAGCAATATCATGTTGTAGAGTAAAAGTAAAAAGGAACAAGAGAGTCACAGAACCAAAACAGGACAGTGGAAGGGAAAAAAGCTATTGAAGCCAGGTAGACCTGGATAGAGAAGGAACAGATCATAGAGAGTCCAGACCGTATGAAAATACAAAGGATACTCCATGCAGTGCATAAGAGCACCATTCGGACCGAGACCGAATTCCTCCATGACATCTTCCAAATTGATGAGTTCTCTAATATCTGCAAACCAAATGAAAACCCATCATCAAAACCAATGGAGGAAAAAACTACTCCTTAATCAATGGATAACAAGGACGACAGCAGCAAGCGAGCTTACCCACGGCAACAGGATAGTCAAAGTTCTCTGCAGCAGGATCTAGGTTCACGATATGAATGGACCGCCCAAGTGTTTCACAATGTTGGTGCAAGCTAGAACAATAAGTCGACTGACCAAGAAGCAAACAGAAAAAAAGAAGCAAACATCAACATGATTCTCCATCTCCATAACCCGGTTCTTAACAGAAAGCTCCTTTCTTTCTACCATGGGCGCATAGAAACATTACCTTCCCGCTCCCAGCAGGGCCAATAACAAGCTGTGCATAACCCATGATTTTGATTGCTCGTTTCAAAATCGCTAGTGATTAAGAAATTCTCAGAGGCGGAAAAGGGTACTGAAGACACGGAAATAAGAGAGAAGAGCAGCCGTAAGATACGCAGTACACCAAACGCCAACAGCAAGCAACAAGTTCATCGCGCTAGAGGAAGCAGCCATAAACACCGGTCCCAGAGAGGAAGAACATTAGAGTCAAGACCTGATAAAATCGACAATAAGCTGAACAGAACCAAAAAAAGGGGGGAAAGAAAAGGCAAAGCATGATCAAGCTAAAACCCTAGACCAGTGACAGAAATGGGCGATGATCATTTCATTTTCCACGGCGAGCCAACGGAAATGCAGGTTCGAGCCTTGAAAGAACGAAAATGATGGAGATGGAGCTTCGAAGTTACCTAGCTGATGGGATAGCGTGCGGGATATGGCGTCGGCGGCGGGAGAGGCGTTTGAGGAAGGAATGAGGAGAGGCTGCGGAGACGAAGCAAAAGGAAAATGCGCCGCGCAAGAGAAGTGCGACCACGATGAGTAGACGTCTGCACCAAGTTCGGTCTTCTACATTATTTATGTAATTAAAATTAAAATTTATAATCTTAGATTGGATTGGTATTACAGTAATCACTTGCTCATCATCTTGAATAAGATTATGGACCATTCTGAAGCTCGTGTCTATTTTCTTTATTTTGAGCGAAAAAAATAACAATTTAACAATGTTAGCATATAATATAGTTGACAGTTATCCTGATTTTCTTTTCTTACCACGAATATACCTGTACACCACATTTTGTGACGGAACAAGATCAAATATAGGGGTCACTTTCTGCAATTTTATGTTGGAGCTTAGAGAGCATCAAAACCAGGACCTCGCACATTCCACGACGACCTATCTTGCGGCGGTACCGCTAGGCTATCTTACCATTAGGGGTGACTATATGGTCCGGTCTGGTTAAAATGGCCCGAATTGATCCGGTTCCAGTACGGTCTTTTTGGGAATATAAGGACCAAAAATTGGATTGGATACAGTCCGGTCTTGACCCGGTCCGGTCCCAATTTGGTCTTGATTTTAGATTGAGCTTGTGGGGATTTGAGTGGAGGCTTCAAAGGGTGAGGAGTTGGTTAAGTTTTGAGTGTTGGAGTCTCTTATCCGGTTTTCGATCCGGTCCCAAATGGTTTTTTACCTCAAATCTAAGTCCGAATATGAGATTGGGTTGTTTGTTATCCGGTCCCCGTCCGGTCTCAGTCCGGGTTATACGGTCCGATTTCGAGTAAAACCAAACAGTCCAGACCAAATAGCCAGCCCTACTTACCATTAATAGGTGCTACTCCAAGGATCATCGCTGTCGCTAGGGATCAAACTCAGGACCTTGCCTGAGACACTCCACTAGCAAGGCCAACCTTGTTTCGTGACAGTTATCCTGATTAAAATGACGATGTTACTATGTTAACACATTATTGTTGATATGACTTGCAACATGGCTCGGCCTTATGCCGCGCCATTAAAAGATAAGGCCGCGCCATTAAAAGATTGGATAAATTGGTATTTGGTAAGGTATACAAGTATACATTTTTCCTAGTAGGTCATTCTGCGACAAAAGATAACCGTCGCAAAAAATTTGAACATAATCTATGACGAATAAGTGAAATTCGTTGCAAATTGTATACTTTCTATGACGAATTTCTTATCGTCGCGATACAATTCGTCGCAGAAAGTGCAGATTCTTGTAGTGACATATGTTTTTTATAAATAAAAAAAGGAAGTAAAATCACTTTAAATACGACATCATTCATTTTTAGATGGTAGGTAGTATTTTCTGTTGATAATGAGTATTGGACGCAAAGGGGATATCCAAATAAATGGTGGATAGTCCCCATCCAGTATCCTGATCCTCATCTTAATTCAGCATTTCATCAGCTAGGGATAACAATGGGTCGGGTCAGGTCGGGTGCGGATAGTGTATATCCGTTATTCTACCCAATGTAATTTGGGTTTTACCCATACCCATACCCACACCCACACGAGAAATGGGTAGAAAATTAAAATCATGTCCATATCCGTTCGAGTTTCGGGTATCCACAGTTATCCATGGACAATAATTTCTTCTTATAATTCCAACCAATATGTTAAGATTCACAAGTATACTCACATTACGTAAGAGGAAAAGTACGACAATAATTCACTAGAATGAAGAAAATTAAATAAAACAACATAATTTCATGAAATATTATATTTATATGCTAAATATAAAATATTCTAAAGAAAAATAATGATTATTTCTAGACAAAATACATATGCATGTGTATAATCGGGCGGGTTCAGGTTGGATAGTGAGGAAACCATGCCCACCCATTACCCGCAATATTCGGGTTCGGGTTTTACCCGTACCCATGAAAATGCTTCGGGTTCGGGTTTTACCCTACCCGATTAGGTCGGATTCAGGTGGATATCCACGGTTACAGATATTTTTGCCATCCCTACCATCAAGTCAACATGGTTGCTATTCAAGCTAAGAAAAATGTGTTGAGTTGTTTGCGAGTGACTCGAGGTTTGGTTTGGAAAAAACTTGTTTAAAATTCGACTAGTTACTAATGAGTTGATCTTGCGTCTTATTTAGCTCGCGAGCCAGTTCGACTTGTTGAATTCAACTAGTGAGCTGGCTCGTTTAGAGATCATGAACGTTTCAACATTGTGGGTATTTAGATAGCCAACTCGACCATCAATTTATCAGCGGATCGATTTATATCTAATTAGTTGGATTTTGATAATTCACAGGATTGTTAAATATGTATTATTTTTGTTTAAAAAGAGAAATTATGTGTCATAGATTAAAGGCCTTCAATTCAATGCACTTGAGGCGGAACTAAAACGTTGGTCGCATTCGAAAAAAAATATACAAGAGGCTTAAGAAAACTTGTGTTTTCTAAATTATATGAAGCAAATAAACAAACAGCAAATCCATTCCCAGAGTAAGAATCATTGTATCATCACTTATTCAATGAATAATGACTAAAAATAAATAAAAAAGAAGGGTTTATTCTTTGATCAAAATAAGTATAGACAAAGAATTGAAAGAAGAAAAATATTTCAATTTGTATATTCAAATTCTTTTGAGTTCTGTCGCGAGATCTAAATATTAAATATGAATCATAGTTCTGGTACTTAGTAATCTATTTAATATAACTATGATACATAAATAACATGGTTTGGATGGGTTAACATTTATGAACGAAATAATATTATATCAAAAGAGTGTAGGAGGAGGAGGCTACTGTTGCTGACTTTACTCTTGAGGATGGAAGCTGGCGAACGGATCTCTTTAGCGATCTTCTGCCCCCTGATATCTACCAGAAGATTTTGTGCATTGCGGTTGACAAGCTCTCGCAGGAGGAGGATCGACTCTTCTGGTTGGACACTGCCGATGGCCGTTTTTCCACCAAATCCGCTTTCACTCTTCTCACGCAGCAGCAACCTGACCCCGATGAGAAATACTGGAAGATCATCTGGCGCCTCCCGGTTCCGGAGCGTGTTCGCACCTTCCTGTGGCAGACCCTCTTGGGGAAGATCGCGACTAACGCCCTCCGGCACAGCAGAAAGATAGCGGCGGATCCCTTCTGTTTGCAGTGTCCGGCCCAGCCGGAGACGATTCTTCATATTCTCAGGGACTGCGCCCCGGCTCTCTTCTTTTGGTCTCGTCACGTTCCACCCCAGCACCAGCAGGACTTCTTTAGCGCGCCCTCGGATATCTGGCTGCGCAAGAACCTCTCGGAGACAGGAATGAAGTCAGGTGACATCAGTTGGCCGGCGTTCTTTAGCATGACTGTTTGGTGCCTGTGGAAGAACAGGTGCACGGCCTCCCTCCAAGGAAGAGCTGCCGCCCTTACTGCTCCCTCTCTGGAACACTCCATCATGACCAAGACGAAGCTTTGGCACGACGCCTGGCAGGCTCCGTCTCTTCTGCCGGATAACCGACTGCGACCAGCGGAGCGCCAATGGGCTAACATCTGTTGGTCTCCCCCTCCGGTCGGTTGGGTCACTCTGAACGTTGACGGGGCTTCCAACGGTAATCCGGGTCCGGCAGGGGCTGGCGGTGCAGTCAGAGACTCCACGGGGAAGTGGTTGGGAGGCTTTGTTGCCAACATTGGTGAGACTACTGCTGCTCATGCGGAGATTTGGGGGATTGATCATGGCCTGAACCTTGCCTGGGACCTTGGCTACAGAACTGTCAGAGTGGAGTCCGACTCCCAGCTTGCTCTGAACCTCATCCAGAACAGAGAAGACCCTATTCACCCTTATGCTACTCTTCTGACTAGTATTCGCAGGAAATTAGGACGGGATTGGTTGGTCAGCATCACTCATGTGTATCGAGAAGGGAATAGAGTCGCGGATTGGCTCTCGAAGCACAGTCTCGTCTATCCCTACGGTGTTCATGAGCTTGCTAACCCTCCTCCCGGCCTAGTGAGTATCCTTAGAGATGATGCCCATGGCACGACTTTTGAGCGCCGCATAGCGGTTCGCCCCCCTCTTCCCTCTTAACCCCTTGTAATGCTCTTCTTGTTCTAGGCCTCGGCCTCCCAGTAATGCAAAAAAAAAAAAATGAAATTAGTTATAAAAAAAAGACTTTAAATACGACTTCATTCATTTTTGGATGCTAGCCGCTAGGTAGTAAAGGGGATATCCAAATAATAAATGGTGCCGTGGATAGTCTCCATCCAATATACACAGATGCTCATCATCATCCCAGCAAGTCAACATGGTTGCTATTCAAACTAAGCAAGTCAACATGTGGTTGCTATTCAAGCTAAGAAAAATGAATATATCCATTGCTAGGATGCAAATGTGCTGAGCTTTTCGTTAGTGACTCAAACGTTTGGTTGGAAAAAACTTGTTCAAAACTCTATTAGTTTATTAATGAGTCGAGTTTGAGTTAAATTTTGTTCGGTTCGCGAAAATGAGGAACAGGTTCGACTCGGTGGCTTGTTGAGTTCAACTCATGAGCTGACTCGTTTAGAGCTCATGAAAATTTCAACATTGTGGCTTGAGAGCCAACTCGACTTGCGACTTGTGAGCGAATCGATTTATATTTTATGAGTTGGATTTGATAACTCATAGGATTGGTTAAATTATATTTTTCACCCTATATGATGTTTAAGACATTTAATATGTAAGCAAATACATTCTTATTTTTAATTTAAAAAAAGAAATTATGTACCATAGATTACTTCGATATTATGAGTAACATGATTTGGATTGGTTAACATTTATGAACTAAATAATATTACACCAAAAGAGTGTAGCCAAGATTAATTAAAGTTTGTATATTATTTTTTTCCCCATCATGACATCAATTGCATGTATCATACATGACATACAAAATGAATGTATCAAATAAAAGTAAAGATTTTTGTAAATGAGATTAGATTGAACTGGACTCGACTTGATTCGTTAACAAACGAGCTGAGCTTGAACTCGACTCGTTTATTATTGAGCAGAGCCCAAACTAAGGTAAAGCTCGACTCGACTCAGCTCATTTGTAGTGATATTAGCATGATTACAATCCAAATCAACATGGGTGCCATCAAAGTAATATGGTGACAATTGAAAATTGATGGTTACCACCAAAGTAAACATGGTACCCATCCAAACTTTAATTTATACAAAATTTAGAGAGTTTACTTATTTATTCAACGAAAAAAAGCAGAATTTACTTATATTTACAGTTATATACTTCATATTTCTATCTCTATTGTCAATCTCTCGAAATACTTTGAATTCATTAATAATATTATCCTAAAATATTATGCTTTTAAAAATAGTAACTAATATACAATATTTATACAAAATATTTCCAAAACTACGGTCTATATAAGCGAATAGGCAATTTGCGTCTCAATTGGATTTATGATGTGTATTTGAATGAATTGAGGCGCGCATATCGTAGTTTAGTTTAAAGATGGCAAAGAAGAAAAAAATTGAAGCGACAATAAGCAAAATTGATGAGTCGCCCACACCATAAATAAGATTTTTTTTATAAATAAAAAACCTATATTATTCCATTAATGTGAAATAGTACAACAATTAGATTGTAGCTGAGTAGCTATAAAGTAAGGGGGCCTAGATTGCCAGGTTTCAGTATCCTCTCAATTACATAAAGGGTCATTTGGATGGGTTAATTGTCAATGTGGTATTTGTAGAGTCAAAGAACTCATTTATTGTTCATGTGGTATTTCAGTGTTATTTCAGTGGTAATTGAAATAAAGTATCTCGTTTGGTTGAACCATGCAAATGTGGTATTTGACATGTGGTATTTGGTAAAAGCAGAGTGATACAACGAGTTATTTCGAAATAACACATGGGTATAAGTTATTTCAAATAACTCGTTTTGAGTTATTTATAAATAACTCACTGTCCAAATAACTCATTTCAGTAAAACGCTGCCAAACGAGTTATTTGAACCCAAATAACTCATATAAATACTCCATCCAAACGACCCCAAAGTATGGGCCAAAATGTGGGCTACTTGGTTGCTGGTCCGACCCGAAAACTAAATGGAAACGAGCCCATATCTTTCAACCCCTCTGCCAATTCTCCACAAGCAATCCCTTCCTCTGCTAAACCACACGAAGACAATCTGTCTCGATCTCACCTTCCATCAACCCCCATTTCTCCGTCATTTCCAGTCCAAACCAATTCGCCTTTATCTCATTTCGGGTTTCCATTGAACCCTAGTTCTTCGAATTGCCGCAAAACAGAAATTACTACTCTTGTCCCTTACCACCACCCCAAAACCCGTTCCTTCTCCTTGTAATCAAGCAGCATCGACGTTTATCTTGTAATTAGTGCCGGTCAGAGGTTCCCAGTTCGGAGATGATATCATCGGAGTCGACTTCAAAGAGGATTGGTATTGCAAGTACTCAGAAAAAAGCCATCTATCTGCTCGATTAATTATCTCGTATTCTTCCATCTTTTTCTTATTCCACATCTGAATGTTTCTCTCATCCCAGATAAACCATAAAGCCACCAGAAATTGGTCGATTGCCTCATCAAACTCTAATTCTTGCAGCGACACCAGCCATTCTTCACAGGTAAGATATGCTCCCTTCTCTTTTATTGCCGGCCCAATATATCCATGTTTTTATTCATGCATTTGGGTGTAGGGATGACAATTTCGACCTGACCCGATTTACCCGACCTGTTTGGCATGTTTTGGGGCGGGGGGGGGGGGGGGGCGGGCGGGCATGGGTATCTCTCATCGACCCGACCTGCCCTGACCCACCCCATTCTCGGCTCGTTCTTGTCTAAATTATATATAATTTTAGTCAAATTACTTAGGATTTTCCTCATATTACATCATATTTTAGCTATAATAAAGTTATAAATACATGAAAATAACAATTTCTCCAATAATTTAACTATATTTTATCATATATGGTTTCTGTCTTGGTCTATTAATGAAAATAACAAATAGTTCTAATATTTTTCACATAAATTACATACCCATTGAGTCGACCTGCCCCGATCCGCGCCCCATGATAAATTACCCGACCTATATCTAACCTGCCACCAGTGGCGGCTCCAGGGCTGGGCCAACCCAGGCCCCGACCCAGCCCTCCTCTAGATCCAAAGTTAGTTTAGTGCTTATAAATTTTTTCGATTTAGGTATTTGGCCAATGCAATTTAAAATCCTGTCTAGTTTTATTTGATAATAGGATTTTGTGTAACTAGGAAAATGGTTCAGATGAACATATACAAACCATCACTCTAAATTTATACTAAATTTTCTATACACCAAATGATTTTATTTGAAAAAAGACATGAAAACCTAAAAGTGTAAAATTTCATTAAAATAAAATAAAAACTCTAAACTAAAGCACTAAAGCACACCCCTCCTTGCAAATTCAAAAAATTTCCCAATCCCTCCAAAATAAAACAAAATTGAGGAGACGAGCAGACCCAAAATGGATTTCTCCGCCAGCCTGTCGAGTTGATTTTCTTTCCATTCTTTTGATTAAGAAAATATTTACAAACTTGCTGAGTTATCATTTAAATTGCTTCAATTGAGTGGGGCACTAGATTCTAATCGTTCTTTCTGGTGTTTTGATGAAGAAAATATTTACAAACTTGCTCAAGAGTTTAGCCTCGAGACTTTGAAGGCTATGAGATACATTCTTTGGACAATGCACTACTCATGTGAGGAAGTTTGAAGTTTCTTCCCTTGCAAAATTATTAGAGAAGATTGAGGAAACAGGGATGGACACACAATACAAATTGATTTGACGGTTGATTTGTCTAGTGTTGACCTATCCGTTTCAACAACTACCATGAAGAGAATATTTTCTGCAATGGAACATGAACATTGATTTGTGCAACAAAATAAGTGATGAATTTCTCGTTGATTGCTTAGCTATTTTCTTTGAAAAAGAGTATATTATCAGTATGGATGAAGATTATATTATTGATGAATTTGTTAAATTAAAAGATTTTCTTGTACAATTGGCAGTGTAATGAAAACTATATTATTATATAATTTTTATTTATGGTATCTAATATTATATTCAAATGTGGCCCAGTGCTCTCTTATGTTCTAGATCCGCCGCTGCCTATCACAGGACGGATATGGCTATCGAAATACCTGCCCCGAACCTGTCCAGACCTGCCCATTGCCATTCCTATTTGGATGTGTAGAAAGAATACACCAATTAAGAACAAAAAATAGCAAAAGCTTCCTTTTGTTCTTTCCTCTGCCGCAGTTCCCCCACTACATCCAAAAGCTTAGAAATCCAATCTCCAATTCCATTGTCCATTTCCAAACACAATTCACAAGTTATAAACAATTCTCCATACGAAAAACCAACAATATCATATGAGAGCACTACCCAAAATCCAACACATCAATAACCTTATATATGAAGCATGCAACTCTTAATGACCGTGCAACAAGTAATCCTATGTTTACTATGTAGAAGTTTCTGTCTCTTGTGAGGCCGCCCCTTCAATTTGTTTCTTCTTCTTCTTCTTTTTTCCTTTCTTCTTTCTTCCCCGCCGACTCCTAGTGCTTCCCCTGCAATCGCAACAACATTCACCATTCTCAGTCAAGAACATCACAAGCCTGGAAATTTTAAACATAAAGAGCTACGTATTATATATGGTGGCAAATTCAAAGCTTCATTATTTACCAGGGCACAGGGATGAACCAAAATGTCGCGTGCATCGTCTTGTTCTCCCTGTACCGCTCATCAGCAAACCTCTGAAACTCTTGTCCGGCGACATCAAACACGCCATCCCAATTCGCCTCCCCAAACGTCTCCCGATGGCAACAAACTCGATTCAGCGCGAAGTAGATGTGGTCCCCTCGAATCCCGTTACCATTCGGATTGATAACACTACCACTACCACTACCACTACCAGTCGGTAAGCAAATCGATTGGTGAGCACCAATGAACACAGCATGCCCATCCAGACTCCACACTTCCTCCCAAAAAACACCCCTCTCAACCTTCTTACCGCTACGAAACCTCGCCGCCTCGTCGATCCCGGCGTCGCACTCTTCGTCCACGACCAGCCTGAACACGTGGAACGCCAGGTAGTCCCCGTAGTATCTCCCATTGTAATCCGGGATAACGACGCGAACCTCGCCGCTGCCGCCGCGGCCGCTGAGGTGGCATAAGTAGGGGTGAGGAAGCGACCTATACCGACAGCAGCTTTGGGCGTCGAGCGAGTTCATGTAGCGGGAGAAAGGGAACGCCCTCACGGTGGGCCCCGTCGCGGCGGAGAAGGGTTTGAGGATGTCGTGGACGACCCAGAGCGATTCCTCGCCGACAAGGTAGAGGTTGCCTCCCGAGTAGGAGGCGTCTCGAATCGGCGTGTCGTCTTGGAGGCGGACGAGGCAGTTCTTCGGCGGGAACGTCCAGCCGCCTCCCGGCCCGACCTTGCACCACGCAAGCAAGTTGTTCTGCCAGGTGGAGAGGGTGAAGACGTAGCAGCGATCTTCTTCTTCTTCAGGGGAGGAGGAGATGATGGCTTTGACGTCGTCGGCGTATTCGGGCTTGGTGATGGGAGGGAGAGGGATGGAGGCGCCGGTGAGCGGGTTGATGAGGTGGAGGTCGATCTGGCTGCGGACGTAGCCGTCCCCTCGGGCGGGGAGGGAACGGAGGATCCACCCGTCTTTGGACGCCAAGCAGTGAGCGTCGTGGTCGGATGTGGATTCTTCGTCGTCGCCGCCGCCGCCTTGTCGGATGACGGGGAAGGAGGTGAGGAATTGCTGGTGGAGGCGGAGGTAGCGATTGCGCTGGCCGTGGGCGTCCGACATGTTGGAGGCGGGCGGGAAGAGAGGGAGGGCGATGGACGGCGGCGGCGGCGGCGGCGGAGGAGTAGGGAGGGGTATGAGTGCAGTGAGGGATACGAGGTCGTGGATTTGGCCTGTCGACGCACCGTCCGGGGATAGGATTGCGTCAGCGGCGGATGTTGCGGGGACTAGCAATTGGGGAGGGAAGCGGAGGAGGACAGCGGCGGATCTCCATGGTCTGCAGACGCCGGCGAAGGAGATGAGCTGGGAAACTGTGTCCAAGTGGCGGGACGCTATCTTCTCTATGATCTCGTTTGGTAATCCCGAGTAATCCATTGATGCGGGCGGCGACGGCCGGCGGAGGCTCTGCAGCCGTATAGCTAGGGTTTTTTTTGAGAGGGTTAGCGAGGGTGAAAACAAAAAGGACCCGTATATATTTAGGGGTCACATTATTTCGCTATTGGTTATTGGCGCGCTCTGTGGTACAGCGCCTGCACTAGTGCCGGCAGTTTCTCAAGCGTTGGATTTGTGATATTTAATAAGGACCGGTGATTTAATAACAATCACTTAACAAAAATTGGTTGAACCTGTTATCTATTCAACAAAACCCCAGTAATTGAATTATTTTCCCGTGATTTCCCTCAATTTTAGCGAGAGTAAATTCGGATAGAGATCCTGCCTCCTTAATCCACAGTTCTATCGGAAAAATCAAATCCATCATCTCCACCTCACCCTGATCCCTATTCCTATAGGTTGCATCATCATGTAGTGCTTTCTGAGTGGGATTTTTGTATTTTATGACCAAATTCGTGTAGCAGCATCATCATGCAGGCGATGGAGATTATTGATTCCCTTTTAACTCTGTTCCTTGAAGCTACAACACTTCATGTCTTCTTCCCCCTTTTTTTTTTTTTTTTTTTTGCCGCAGTAGGAAAAATCTCTTAGAAAGAAGAATCTCAATATCATCATCATATCGCCCCTGGTCACAGTGGCAATTTCAGCTGACTGGGGGTCGTTGATTGCTGACCAACGGCACGGTGATGATGGTGGTGGATTACTTCGGCGGAGACGACGTTGGCGATGACCAGGCGGTAATAGGGCTGATGACGATTGTGATTTCGACTGACGAGGGTTCCGGGTGATGATGGCCGATTAGCGGAAACTTTGATGTTGGTGGTGGATTGTTGGGGCAGAGACGAGGCGATCGATGATCAGACAGGAACAACGGGGCTGATTAAGTTGGTGCTTTCTACTGATGTGGTTTCGGGTTCTTAGTGGTGATGATCGATCAATGAAAACGGCTATGATGGTGGTGGATTGCTGGTTATTGCTTCGATTCGATGGAGTTCGAAGGATCATAAAAGAAAAAAAAGTGAAAGAGGAACGGACCCTGTAACCTGTCTTTTGTTTTTCTCTTCTTTTAATTATGTATTAGTTAATCAACCCAGATTCAACCAATAATTACAAACCCAACCACCTTGTTGAGAGAAATTATTGTATACACCCGGCGTACCACGTCACTTCAATTACGTGGTACTCCAAGCCAATAAAGAACAGACACGTTGATAGACGTTTACCTTGTATTGCCGCATAGCATTTTCGGCTTCATCTCTCTCTTTTTTCGACGCCTTAATGACTGATTAATTACTTAACCTGATTAATTACTCCAAGCCAATACAAAATTAGTCTATTCAATTATTTGCCAACAGAAAACACAGTTCCATTATGAGCATCTTCCTCCCACTCTGTTTCTCCCCAGAACTTCAACCATGGAACCAGGGAAAGAGAAACCCGTTCTCCACAAGAACCCAGAGAGAACATTTGAATTAGCTAATGTTTATCAGGATTTTTGGATTTTCATCTCTCTAACTATAAACTACAGATGCAATTTTAGCAAATATGCTCTGCTTCAATCCAGTGAATACTAAAATCAGTGGTAGCCGCCCCTTAATCATCTGAGAATAAAGCTCTGCTTCAATCCAGTGAATACTAAAATCAGTGGTAGCCGCCCCTTAATCATCTGAGAATAAAGCTCAATTGAAAGACTCGGTCTAATGGCGGGGTTTTCAGAGTTAAAAATGACTATTATGTAATAGTTAGTAAATATTTCGTTTAATATACGTATATATGATCGTACATATTGTATCTGTTTAAAACCTTCGTGTCAGTATTATAATCAAACCACTTCATCTTTTTTCGTTTATTTGATGACTCGCGTACTAAATACGTATAAAATCGATATAACACGTTTAATATCCGTATTTGGTGAATTAAATTGCTAGCTTAACTATTATTTATATACTAATTTATTTCTAAAATATTAATTATATATATATTTTATAGCTATTGATGTATGATAAAACATACTATTAGTTTCAAAACAAAATAAAATACTCATGTATATTTTGTAGGTACCTTACCCGTAACGATTTTACTAACTTCTCTCTCTGACTTTTATTATTGGTTGGATTTCTTTCTCTGAATTTGAGATGAACTCAAAGAAGGAAACGTAAAATAGGGAAAGACTAAAAAAAAGGTAAAACATAGGGAGAGCGGAGTAAATATATGTCAACGTGTATGTTTTATATTGGCTTGGAGTACCACGTAATTGGAGTGACGTGGTACGCCGGGTGCATACAATAATTTCTCCCTTGTTGAACCATGATATACGGTTTGAACCGGTCACAAATAAGTGGCGGTACCGGTGCCGTACCGGCACCACAGAATTGCCGTTGGTTATTTTATTTTACGGGATCAGAAAGGAAGAAGAATATAAGAAGAAAAATGTAGCTATTAGAGTTTATACTTTATGAGCAATTTTTAGCTCACTTTTCCAACGTAAAAGGAAAAGCTTTCTTAGTATGTACTTTTTTTTAGCACTATTCTAGGTTGGTAGAAGATAGACGCTATTTATGACAACAAAACCCGAACCCACGGTATCCATCCGATCAAATCCGGTCAACACGGGCAAAACCCGTGTTGATGGGGTTTGGACCGGGTTTGGGTTTAAACCCGCTACACTATTCATCGGGTTAGGTTTGGGTTTAGGTAAACCCGCCCCATGGGTACCCGCTCACACACATACAATTACTTTCCCGGTATATTTAATATTCTAAATAACATATCTTCCTTAAACTACTAATATTCTTTATATTTGTGGAGACATGTATAATTTGTTCTTTCTAATTGTTTAAAATGAAGTTGATATTATGAAGTGGAGAGTGAAGAAACTTAGTTGACGAGGAAGAAGTTTTCAATTAATCTTATTGTTTATAGATGTTTATCTTTGATTTTGAACAATTTGTATTGATCATTTGCGGTTTGCTTGTATGCTCTAGATTGGTGTTTTTTGTATGAATAATTTGTATGAGAAAATTGATGTTAAACTTTTATTTTGAAAGAAACTTGTTATTGTAAATTTTTTACAACAAAAACCCACGGGTACCCATGAACCAGTGGATACCCAGCGGGTTGGGTTGGGTTTGAGTTTTTCAAACCCAACGGATTTTACCCCAAATTTTTTTAGCGGATAAACCCATGGGTTTCGGTTTGGGTTTGAAAAAACCCGCCCCAACCCGACCCATTGCCATCCCTAGCCATAAAGAGTTACTGTCAGAGTTGAAAATGAGGGACACCATCCCAGTATTGAGTGCAGATGTAAAGATGTTAAGACATGAATCAAAGATCTACACTCCTAAAGTGTTCATGATTAGGGGTGTTAGTCGGTTTATTTCGGTTTAACCGAAAATTAATTTCTCGGATATCGGTTAAACCGAGCCATCACCTCCTAGTGTCGACCACCGACCGGTCGGTTATCGGTTTAGGTTCGGTTAGCCGCATACCCGAAAAAACACTCCCTTCTCTGCCAAAAATTCATTAAAAATTATTATAAAAAAAAAACAAACGCGAATCCCCCCACCACTAAATCCTTATCTCTTTCCTTCCTCCAAAAAAACCACCGGACCAATCCTTCCTTCCTCCATCTGAAACCCACCACACAAGACCACTCTTTCCTTCTTCCATTTCAGATGTAGACACCATGGAGAAGAAGCAAAGGCACAACGATGGCCACGTAGGAGAAGCAGAGGCGGACGTGGGGGCAGGGTCGGGAGGCGAGCGGCGACGTCCCCGACGCAGGAGAGGCGTGGATAGATCTGCAAGGGGCAGGGGTGGGGGGGCTTGGGTCGCCGGCTCTGTCTGCTGGCTCGATGGAGGAAGGAGGGGATGGCGACGGGAGACGTGCGGAGCCTGGGGTTGTCGTGGATGAGAGATGGCGATATCGGAGCAGAAGAAGAAGAAGAAAGAATTAGGGAGATGGGTAGATGGCGATGGAAGAAGAAGAAGAAAAAGAAATCTTAGGGAAGGGTTTGGATGGTTGGCTAGGCTGGGCTTTGGAGGAGGACGGAGAAGAAATAATTAGGCAGAAGGCAAGATGGCTGGGCTGGGCTTTGGATGGCTTGGTTGGGCTTTGGGTGGCTGGTCGGTTATTTTCGGTTAGTCGGGTAACCACAGTTAATCATCCTCGGTTACTCGGCTAGCCGAAAACCACCTTTCTTCCACCGACCGAGGTAAATAACTGTCAGTTTTCGGTTAGATGCTAATCGATGATTTTCAGTTAAACCGGCCGATTAGCCGCTAACCGGAAACCGAACTGCCACCTCTATTTATGATGTTCCAATAGGAACACATCAAAACTTGAGACTGCACCATTGATAAGGTTAGCAAAACATAAGTTCAGCTGGTATACACCGTGAAATATGCTGGTAGATGTACAGAGTGTTAATTGTATAAGTCTCGTGTGTATAAGTAGCCTCGTATGTATTGTAGTAGTAGTACGTAGAGCCCATATAGCATTAAAAGCCCATGCAGCCCATGATCATTAGGTACGAGATAAGTAGAAACCTAATGTCCTAGGGTTCATCTAATGCTGGTTGTATATGTGCAGAGAGTTGCTGTCCGGGTGTATTATATCATTATCATCGGTACAAGAAGTAGTCGAGGAGTTTTCAAGCTCCTCCGTAGATTAGTCCTGGTAAATCCGGGGATATCATGTAAATCAATGTCTAGCATTTTTTGTATTATTTTCTATTTCACATCATGGTATCAGAGTCTACACAAATCGAATCTGACAGACCATCGGTTCGTCTCTCGGCAACAAATTTGCACTGTGGGAGTTTCAATTCCGAGTCTTCGTGGAAGGCCGTGGATTGCTTGGAATTCTGGATGGGACAGAACCGCAACCAATGCAGTCAAAATCGCGCTTTAAAACTTAAAAACTTACGATTTTACACTTTTAGGTCAGCAAAACGCTTTCATTTCCACATAAAAACTTTAGTGTATAAAATTGGACTAAATTGCGCTTGAAACCTTAAAAGCTTAGCTTTTACGCCTTTAGTTCACCAAAACACTTTACGTTTATAAACTTTTAGTTCACTAAATAGGTATTATTTTTCATGAAATTAAAGGCAAATTACCAAATATATGATACATTTGAGATTAAAGGTACATACCAAGTACTTGGATGCATTCTCAGCTTCAATAGAGTAATCTAATTCACCAGCTAGGCTCTTCCCAAATTCATTAGCATAGAGGGGACGGTGGCTTATTGTTAAGATTTATGTTTATGAACTTATTACTAAAAGGCTATAAGTTGTTCTACTTTAGGCATGAATTGCAGGTATTTATTAACTTATATAAATTATGTGCACTCATATTTTATATAGTATATACGTCGTACTTAACAGATTTTTAGTTATTTTACAGCATGCGTAAAAAACTTACGTTTTTATGCTTTAATTCTACACTTTACGATTTTATCCTTTTTCCGCTTCTAGCTAGAATCACGCTTTTGACTGCATTGACCGCAACCGACTGCCGGAGCTGCTACCGCACAAGAAAGAGCTCAATGGAATCAGAACGATGCTCGCGTGAGATCGTGGTTGCTGGGTTGCGTGGATGCGTCCACCTGCCTTAGTCTACGTTTATTTCCGATTGAAAATAGGACGTGGAGACATCCGACAGCTCTTTACTCTACCGTTAATCGAGCCCGTCAATTCGAGATACAGATGTGATTGCTCGTCTGGATCAAGGAGACAAATCGGTATCAGAGTATTTCAATTTAGCCCAAGAATTATGGACAGAGCAAGACCTTATTCAAGCTGCGTTGAGGCCTCAAGCTGTATTGACTGAAGATGTGATTGCGGAAAGACAAAGGACTCGAATCCTTGAGTTCCTAATGCGACTAAGGCATGAATTTGAGGCAGTGAGATCGGCGCTGCTCTATAATACTTCATATGATCACAAATTCATATAAAATTAGAAACTCCTAGTTCTCAACATTTAACTCTTATTATAACAAATAACAAGCAAATTGTGACCATTTTCTAGGTAGATAAGTTCATAAGAAGTCAAAATACTAAACAATAATAAATAAGCAGAAAAAGTTCATTCTTGATCATCTAAGTAGGTCCGTCCAGTCATCATTTCATCTTTATCATCCTTAAACACAATCTTAACTTTTCGTCCTCCTCCTTACCCTCTTCTTCAAACAAACTCGAATTCTTCAACATGGAGCTCTCTCTCTTGCACTCCTACAAAGCTCACAGTGGAGCTCTCTCATCCATTATAGATACTAGATAGGTAAATCTATTATAGAAAACAAATTAATAAATAATTGAGAAAGGTAATTTCATATAGAAAACAAATTAATACTAGCTTAATCCATATTTGGTTGCCGTTTGTTTTTGTTAATCAATTATAAAAATTTGCTTGAGATATAACCCCATGTCTCATCTCAAGTTCCACTTAAATAATAAATTAATGATCCTGATAGTTTAAACTAAAGCCACGAAGAAAACGTACTTGTTAGAACTTAGAAGAATTGCAAACACACAAAGAGCTTAAATCCATTCCCCAAGGATGCCGAGATGGAAACGGGGACGTTCAGGGAATCAAGGCGGCCCTAATACCTAACCCCAATTTAGCACTTTCAGGCGACCGCTTAGGAGCTTTCCAGGCAGCTTAGGTGCTATTATTTTTAATTATACGTGCCTAGCGCTTTTTCCTGCGCTTTTGTCAAAAGCGAAGCGCTCTTCCATTGCCTAGCGCTAGCGCATAATTAAGCCTAAGCGAGCGCCTAGGCGCGCCTTCTTGAACCCTGTGACTGGGAGCGGAGGGCGGGCTCGCAGAGGTGGACTCGAGGCGGGCTGGGCTAGGGGTGAGTTGGGCTTAGATAGTAATTATGTTGGACTTGAGTCTGAAACTGGTATGCAAGAGTTTTGGCTGTTTAAAACCAGATCAGAACTGGCCGGTTTTTATCAAGCCCAATGTCGGAACCCTAGCTATCCAATAGGAAAAAAAGTCTTTATTAGGATCAACTACTCAATGCCCGAACCCTAGCTATGCTATCCAATAGCTAGGACAATTAGTTTTTGATTTGTTGCGTCTCCGGCAGCCGTCGCGGAGAGGGTTTAGCTAATACACGTACGCCTCGATGGATTACTCTGAATTGCCGGAGGACATAGCGGAGAAGATCGCGAAGGAGCACTTGGAGACCTTTTCCCAGCTCGCAGCCTTCTCCCGCACCTGCAGATCATGGAGATCCACCGCTCTCCGTCTCCACGGTGGCCGGCCGCTCTGCCCGCCGTCGTTGGTTGTATCTAAAGCCGCCGCCACCACCACCGCATCCCAATCCGGACTCGAGGCGTACTATAACAGCGGCCAAATCCATCAGCTTTATCCCCTCACCACCACGGTCTTCCCTGCCAACCCTAAACGGCCAACGCCACCGCCGATCCCACGCGCCACGCTCCCTTTCTTACCATCTCCATCCAAGATATCGGACGCACAAGGCCAGCGCCTGCGCTACCTCCGCCGCCACGACGATCTGCTCACCTCCCTCCACGACGACGAATTAGCCGCCTCCGTCGATCCCCACCACTCCGACGACCACCACGACCAATGCTTCTCCGACGATGACGACAATCACTACTACGGATATTGGAGTGAGGAGGAGTATGATGAATACAACGCGAAAGATGCTCAATCCTTGGGTTCCAAGGACGGATGGATCCTCCGCTCTCTCCCCAGCCGAGGAGGAGACAGCAGCTGCCAGGGTCGAACTCTCGACCTTTACCTCCTGAACCCAATCACAGGCGCTTCCATCCCGCTCCCTCCTCTCCGAGCTTCATCCCCAACCCACACCCGCGACATCTGCAAAGCCATCATCTCTTCTTCCCCTGACGACGGCGACGAAGAAGAAGGGTGCCACGTCATCATTCTGTCCACGTCGGACCCCCAGCTGGCGTGGTGCAACGTGGGAGAATCACAAGCAGCAGCAGCTGGAGGCTGGAATTTCACCAACAAGGGTTCGCACATTTTCGAATCCCCGCACGACGCCATCTATTTTGGAGGTAAACTCTACGTCGTTGACCGTCGCCGCATCTACGTCATCGATCATCGCAGGCTCGGCTCTTCTTCTTCTTCTGCTGTTAGAGCATTCCCATTCTCCGAAGCTATGTTATCATGTTGCAGCAACGACTCCGACTCCGACTCCGATTACTACTTCGAATACTACGATGAAAGGATGGCTTGTTACCACTTGTTCCAGCTCGACGGAGAGCTCCACGTCGTCAGCCGCCAATATTACCACGTGGCCCTCCAGCTTGTCTTCCAGGTGTACAAGCTAGTCGTCGTCCCGCCTGTTAATGGAGGCAGCAGCAGTCCCAGGTATTACTGGGAAGAAGTGAGGAGTTTGGATGGGCGTGCTGTGTTCATTGGCGGCCATCAATCATTCTGCCACCCCGCCGCCGCCTCTAATACGGTTGCGTTATGCAATGGGGTTGGAGGCAACCGTATTTACTTTGCCTTGGGTTGTCGTAGAACGCGACGGCGCAGATCTGACTGCGGTGGTTGGAACGGCGTCTTCCATCTTGCTAATCGAAAGTTTGAAAGAAGTGCTCTGATGAAATACTGTATAAGCTACGGAAAGAGTTGCTACTCTTTTTGGTTCCTCCCTATGCCTTGGTAATTGCCTGTTACTTTTGTTGTTGTTGTTTCTATTGTGATATAATCTAACGTGCATGAGGGCGGGCGTGCAGGGATATTTCTAAGCTACACAGAAAGCATCATAGCAGGAAGAAGAAGAAGGCTTGGAAGCGGGAAAAGTCCCTGCAGCTCTGCACCACAAATGAAACTGCTGATCAGTACTATTGGACATTGCCAAAGAAGACCATCAAGAACAAGAATCGTCATGATAAGAGCACTATTGATAAGGTCACTCGCCACAACAGATTCCGTGCTTTATTATCTGATGCCGATAATGAAGAAGACGAGGAAGATTGAAAAGGTTCATACTGTTATGATGCACAACATTCTAGCTTGGTTTGCAGATTTCTAGCTTACTGATCCATGATTGATGCATAGTCATTCACAATTGTAGTTATATTATATACTAGGTGGCAATGTCGTCCCTTGTCACGGGACGGAGATGGTTTATGGGCATGTATTATGTGGCCCGTTATGGTATTTTGTTAGTATTATTAGCCTAAAATTAATGTTTTGTTAGCAGTTTTGTTAGTAATGTTGACTTGACAATGTGATATTGACTGAGAAGAGATATATGACGGTCAACATTCAATTGAATTTTATTTTAAAATTTTGGCTAATAAATTATATTTACCTAAATCCAAGTAGACCCATTTATAGGGCTGGGAAAATAGACCAGACCGCTAGAAAAACCGTGGTCCAAACCGTACCACACAGTTTGGTCCGGACCATAGACCGTTAAGTATGGTCTGGTCCATGGTCTGTGTTATTTTATGTTTTGATCTCTTGGTCTGGTCTGGTCTAGACCGCGGTTTACCGGACCAAGCCGTGGACCCAACTGACTTGTCAATACGTGTTAACAGCCCATTCGACCACTCTTTCAACTCCCACAATGACACCCAAGTCCCAACCTTAGTTTTGTGAATCTCATCCCTCCTTCATTCACAACCACATTTAGTCAGAGAGTAGAGATAATCGTCTCTCCATATGACATTATGTTAATGTTTATGACGTTATGGTGCAAGTTGAGATGTTTTTACTTTGTATCTTTGTTATGTACTAAGATTTAGAGTATCAAAATTATTCATGCATGTTAGGATTAATGGTTTAAGGCAAATAACAATTATTTTTCCTGGTTATTGGTTCAATTTTTTGTGTGGTTGACTAAACAAATTATTTATTTTTTGTTGAGTGTGGTCTATATGGACCAGACTAGACCGAACCAGACCGCACACACGTGGTCTGGACCGGACAGTATAGTCTGTTGTCTGGTCTATGGTCTATACTTTAGTCTCTCGGTCTGGACCATAAACCATATATATGGTCTGGTCCAGACCAGACTGCACCATTTCCCAGCTCTACCCATTGGTTATAGGTAGGGTATGGAGGACGTATATATGACTTTGAAATTTTGTAGATGAGTTTGAGTAGGGTATGGATATTTACTTCCATAATCTCAAACATGAATCATACACTACACATACATCACGTAATTCAATACTTGAAAATACTCAAGGAAAATATTTGAAAAACCGTAAGGCGTAGAATTTACCCCCTTTACACTCACCTTATTTCCGTCGGAACTGGCTCTGATTTTGCTCCAAAGTTTCCATACTCGATTCCAAAATATTATCCTCATTATTGTAATGTTCTCACTCCATTAATCATTAAGCAGGCAGCTATCGGGTGTGAAATTTGGGACGTCCAACACTTCATCCAACTAAGGGCGGAGGCGGCGATAACAACGAGACGAGCTTGCTTAAGCAAGCAGCTTTCGTAGTGGAGAGGAAAAGCAGCCCGATGTCGATACTTTTCGCGATCCTTCCCCGTCCGCCTTGGCATGACTGCCTGCCCGACCTGCCCCCGTGTATCTCATTGTGATGACCCGAGGCTGTAGCTTGAATGGTGGAGTCCAGCTGGTGCCAGCTGGAGGAGGAAGAGTATAAATAGACAGTTGAGAAACGGTTTAGGCATGGAGGATGAATAATCAATTGTATTAGTGAGATTAGATAACTACTTTTCCAATTCCATTTTCCCTCTTCTTCTCTATACTCTGTTCTTGTTCTCGCTGGAAGTCTTAATCCGATCCAAAGTCCTTACAAGTGGTATTCAGAGCCTTTCTTCCAGCAACAATGGCGCCCGAGCAGACTCACAATACTCGTATCTCCGTTCTTGAAGAGCAAATGTCCTCTGTCGACGAACAGATGTCTTCCGTTGTCGCCTCCATCGCTGCTCTTCAGGATGCTCAGATCCGCCATTCCCAATCGTGCGATAAGATTGAAGCTTCTTTGCAAATGCTTCTCAGTCGCTCTACTCAGTCGTCTTCTCCTCGCAGTGCGGCTGAACCAAGCGATCGAAGCGGTGGCCGCCACCAGCAGCGTCGCCCTTCCATGTCCGATCACTATCCACGGATGGATCTGCCTTTCTTCAATGGCTCGGATCCTCACGCGTGGCTACGAAAGTGTGCCAAATTTTTTCAGATCCATTCCATTGCTGATGCAGAGAAGGTGGAGGTAGCTTCCATGTATTTGGACGGCCACGCGAACATCTGGTATGAAGGTTGGGTGTGCAATCGCCAGTTTTTGCAGTGGGACATCTTCGTTGGTGATCTTCTCTATCGTTTTGGCGATACCGATCAGATGAACGTCATCGGTGCTTTTAACAAACTCCGCCAGGAAGGCTCGGTTTCAGACTATCAGGAAGCTTTTGAGGATCTTCGTGCTCGTATGCTACGGTTGAATCCTACTCTTAGTGAATCATACTTCATCATGAGTTTCATCAGTGGTCTCGAGGACGAAATTCAGCCCCGAGTTCAGATGTTGATGCCTCCCAATTTATCCATTGCGTTTCACCAAGCGCGATTGGAGGAGATGTCGATCGCAGCTCGGAAGAAGAAGAATCGACCTCCTTCGAAGTGGTTACCGTCCTCGGCGCCGCCGATCTCGAAGCCAGTACAGGCGGAGTCTTCTTCCTCGCCTTCGGTTTCGAATCCCCGGCCTGTTAATCCTCGGAGTCAGGGCCTTTGTTTCAAGTGCGGAGATCGGTACTTCTACGGCCATGTGTGTGCGAAGAAGAAACAGATCCAAGTTCTGCAGGCGGACGAATCTCCGGTGGAAAGCGATGAGGAGATTGTAGATCTGGTTCAGCCTTCTCCTGCGGTGGCGGAGGTTGAGGTCTCGATGCAGGCCTTGGGATCGGGCTCAGTTGGCCGTGCTTTGCAGATTCCGGCGCGCGTTGGTCGGCAGGAGGTGGTGGTTCTCATTGACACTGGGAGCAGTCATACCTTCTTGAGTGAGTCGCGAGCTTCCGAGTTGGGGTGCCGACTCGACTCAGCGCCGCCGATGAAGGTAAAGGTCGCGAATGGGGCCGCGTTACTCAGTAACTCAGTGTGTCGCGGCTTTCGCTGGCGTATGCAAGGGACCGAGTTTGAGTTCGATGTTAGGACGTTGGACTTAAGGGCCCATGATTTGGTGTTGGGCCTGGATTGGTTAGAATCTGTTAGCCCAATTCAGTTGGACTTAAAGCAAAGGCAAATGTCTTTTGCCTGGAAAGGGAAGCAGCTCACTCTGCAGGGCTTGGTAGGGGAAGCCCATTGCAAACTCCTCTCTGGCAAATCATTCGGCCGATTGCTTAAGAGGAAAGTGGCCCAGTTTACAGGTCACCTCTTCTCCCTCTCCCCAGACCTATCATCTTCTACTTCTCTTTCTACACCTCCTTTCCTGGAGCCTTTGTTATCCCAGTTCTCTGATGTCTTCGCGACACCTACCACCCTTCCCCCTTCTCGTCCGTTTGATCACACGATACCCATTGACCCGTTGTCTAAACCCATCAATCTCCGTCCGTATCGTATCCCTCACCACCAGAAGGCTGTCGTGGACAAATTGATCGGGGAGATGTTGTCTTCCCAATTCATTCAGCCGAGCCAGAGTCCATATGCAGCCCCTGTCCTATTGATTGGTAAGAAGGACGGGACTTGGCGGTTTTGCGTTGATTATCGTCAACTCAATTCCATTACCATCAAGAACAAGTTCCCCATCCCTATTATTGACGATCTGATTGATGAGCTTCATGGGGCCAGATTTTTTTCCAAACTCGACTTGCGGGCGGGTTATCATCAGATTCGTATGCGGCCGGAGGATTGCCACAAAACTGCTTTTCAGACTGCTGAGGGGCATTACGAGTTCTTAGTCATGCCTTTCGGCTTGACAAATGCGCCGGCGACTTTTCAGGCCTTGATGAATCATGTCTTTGCTGCTCATCTCCGAAAGTTTATCCTTGTTTTCTTTGACGACATCTTGGTATACAGTCCGACAGCTGAGCTCCATCACGATCATCTTCGCCAGACACTCCTCTTACTTCGTTAACATCAGCTCTACGCCAAGCTGTCGAAGTGTTCCTTTGGGCAGCCTCAGGTTGAATACCTCGGCCATGTTATTGGAGAGTCAGGGGTTGCGACTGAACCCAGTAAGATTACTGCAATGTTGAATTGGCCCCAGCCTAAGTCTGTCAAAGCTCTACGCGGGTTTCTCGGTCTCACCGGGTACTATAGAAAGTTCATTCGACATTATGGCCTTATCAGTCGTCCTCTCACGGAATTGCTGAAGAAGAACTCTTTCAAGTGGTCCTCGGAGGTCTCTGATGCCTTCAACGCTTTAAAAACGACCATGAGTAGTGCTCCGGTGCTCGCGCTTCCGGATTTCTCTCTTCCTTTCACCCTAGAGACGCATGCTTGCGGGACAGGTGTGGGCGCTGTTCTTTCTCAGCAAGGCAGGCCTCTTGCTTACTTTAGCAAGGCTTTGGGGGTTAAAAATCAGGGCAGAAGCACGTATGAGAAGGAGTACCTGGCGGTTCTCATGGCGGTGGACCAATGGCGGCATTACTTGGAAGGGAGGCCCTTCACCATTCTGACAGACCATGAGAGCTTGAAGTACCTGTTCCAGCAGAAGATTCACACTGAGATCCAGAAGAAGGGGCTGGTCAAGCTTCTCGGTCTGGAATTTCAAATCAAGTACCGGCGTGGCAAGTTTAATGGTGCTGCCGATGCCCTCTCTCGCAGGTTCGACGGTGAGGCAGAGTTGGGGGTGCGTAGCCCTTTCTACGGTGTTGGCGGAATGGTTGGTTGAAGTGGAGCAGACTTATGCAGGGGACTCTTGGGTGACTGATAAGATTGCTGAGGCAGTCTGTGCTTCTTCTGGTCCCTCCCTCTGGTCTTATGCGCAGGGTGTATTGAGGTACAAGGGGGTGATCGTGGTGGGCGCTTCTGGGTTTTTGCGTTCTAAGCTGCTGAAATTGTTTCATTCGTCGGCTGTTGGGGGTCATTCGGGTGTTCAGGGTACGTATCAACGCCTGAAGTCCTACTTCTACTGGGTTGGCATGAAGGCTGCGGTTCAGAATTGGGTGCGGGAATGCGATGTTTGCAGCCGCTATAAGGCTGAGGCTGTGGCCTCTCCAGGTCTTCTCCAGCCTTTGCCAATTCCGGACAGAGCATGGCAGGACATCTCACTCGATTTCGTCGAAGGGCTGCCGAAGTCAAAAGGGAAGGAGGTTTTGTTGGTTGTGGTTGATCGTTTTACTAAATACGCGCACTTCTTTGCGTTATCACATCCTTACACGGCGGAGTCAGTGGCTCAAGTCTTCTTCGATGGGGTTTTTAAGCTCCATGGCATGCCAAAGTCGATAGTCTCGGATCGTGATTCTACTTTCACCAGCTCCTTTTGGACTGAGTTCTTTCGTTTGCAGGCTGTTGATCTTCATTATTCTACGGCGTACCATCCCCAAACGGACGGCCAGACGGAGCGGGTCAATCGGTGCTTGGAGGACTACCTTCGTTGTATGTCGTTTCATCGTCCTCAAGATTGGGCAGCTTGGGTAACTCTGGCTGAATGGTGTTATAACACCCATTACCAGGCCAGCCTCCGTCTCACTCCCTTCGAAGCCTTATATGGTTTTCCGCCAGCTCTGTTTGGTCTCTCTCCTTCCTGTTCGACGGCGGTAGGCGCGGTGGAGGATCGGTTGGATCGTCAGCAGCAGCTTGTTCCCCTTCTCCGCCACAATTTGACAATTGCTCAGAACAGGCAGAAGCAGTTTGCCGACAAGCGCCGTTCTGAACGTTCCTTCCAAATTGGGGATCGTGTGTATCTCCGACTTCAGCCTTATAGGCAGGGTTCGGTGGTTGGTCGCCAAGGGAACAAGTTGGGCCCTCGGTTTTTTGGTCCCTATGAGGTGTTGGGTCGAATGGGTGCGGTGGCGTACAAGTTGAAGCTTCCGGCGGATGCGAAGATCCACCCGGTGTTCCATGTTTCTCAGTTGAAGCGTTGCTGCTCTCAGTTTGTGCCTGAAGTGTCTTCTCTACCGGGTCTGGATGATAATAGTGCTTTGAAGTTGCTTCCCGAGGCTATTTTGGCTCGCCGGTTTGTGCAGCAGGATGGACGGGCTGTTACCCAGATTTTGGTTCACTGGTCTCATCAGACACCTGCCGATGCTACTTGGGAGGATTATTGGGTTTTCCGGTCCAACTTTCCTTCTTTTCCAGCTTGAGGACAAGCTGTGTTTTTAGGGGGGAGATTTGTGATGACCCGAGGCTGTAGCTTGAATGGTGGAGTCCAGCTGGTGCCAGCTGGAGGAGGAAGAGTATAAATAGACAGTTGAGAAACGGTTTAGGCATGGAGGATGAATAATCAATTGTATTAGTGAGATTAGATAGCTACTTTTCCAATTCCATTTTCCCTCTTCTTCTCTATACTCTGTTCTTGTTCTCGCTGGAAGTCTTAATCCGATCCAAAGTCCTTACACTCATACATGGAAGGGAACAGGGGATTCGATTCGTCCCATCTCGGAAACATTGTCAATCATCTCGTGCGGAGCAAGCAAGCACCGTGGAGGTCACCGGTTTGGAGGGCCCGTCTTCGCCAGCGGATCTGTTGATGGCGCCGCTGTTGCTTGGATTTCCCGAGAGCAAGTTACTTTCAGTGGGAAAGTAAAAGACTGCGAGGGTTCAACTATTGGGGTGAGGCCGAGTGGGGTAGAGTAAGGGTCTAGGGTTTAATTAGTTAGAGGATATGTTGGGAATCTCACGATTACGTGTGAGTTTAATCCGAAACTCAATTAACGTTCGTAACTTCCTCATTTTATGTCCAAATTTGACACCGCTTAAACCGAAAGTTAACATTTTTAGTCCTCATTGATATTACGGTGGAACTTGACCCAAGGGTATAATTGTCATTTTGAATTTTGGGAAGAGCGGGGTGTAACAGGATATGCACTCTTCTACAGATCGTTTGCATGCTTAAAACAAGCAGCACTCTATTGCAAATTGAAGTCCGGAACACATTAATCACTCATTGAAACCGCGAAAGTACAACACAAAGCCTAACAACTAGAGCAATTATCATCACATTCTTCATCCTGCTTTCAAGAACATCAAACACATTGCTCATTTTCCCGAACTCGGATTCTATTCTTGCGTGATCCTCCTTGGTACTGATTAGTTATTCTAAAAGCAAATTTTTAGCCTTTTTCCTCCTTTCTGCCTTCATCCGAGCAATCCTACAACTCTCCTCCATTTCAATCAGTTTGGTCTTCAGCTCATCTTCTGATTCCTTCAAATTTTGGGTTCGTACTCATCAACCCACACGAAGAACCTGCACTTTGCTTTCAAATCCTACAAAAAGAGAGCTCCTCGGACATGTACAATAGATAAATTGAAAGGCCACCAACTAAACAAATTATGTTACCTTCCAGTATCGACAACAGTAAAACTTTCGTCACGAATTCTTGTCAGTACCAGACACCTGCAAGATACATGGACAATCGTGGCATATAGGTCTCGGATCTCGAATCGTGTTAGTAGAAGAGGATGAACCATCCTTCGCAGACATGGGGATCTTATGCACCGAAGCTCGCCGGGTATTGGACAATAAAGTCGCCACGACGCAACGAGATCTGGGATGGAAGCAGTCAGGAGCCACGACTGGAGTTCTGGGACGAGGGAGAAGAATAAGTGGCGGAGAAGGAAGAGTTTTTGGCGGGGCGAGAGAGTCAGACCGGGGAGGGAATTACTTTGACGGGGAGAGGCTATCTAGACCTTGAATTAACATGATTTTTGGGCATGATACTATCCCCTAACCCTTAATGAGTGAACCCTAGGTCCTAATTATCTAAATCATAAATTATAAACTCTAAGATGGTGCATTGATTTTTTTACCTATATTTGGACGAATCACAACCGTCGATTATTGTTTCTAATTAAATTGATCTTGGGGTATAAGATTTAGAGAATTAAGTCCCAGATTTTGATATTTAAGGGATAGAGTATAGTATCATGTCCGAAAGATCCGTCAATTCAAATTATGGATAGACTTTTCTTACTCAAGTTATGCGATACCCCGAATTTCACTCTGTGTACGTAGAACGGGTATATATATGGGTATTAAATGGAGTATTTTGTTTTCTGTAGCAGTTATCTTTTATATCCGTGAGAAAACAAAAAAAGTAGCCAGCATCATCAATTTTAGGGTACGTGGTTATTCATCCCAAGGATATCCACCCATGGATAAATAAATGCCGCAGTAGGGATGGCAATTTTGCCCATACCCATGGGTATTTTACTATCCAACCCAATTGGGTTGGGTATGAAATCCAAATATATGGATATGGGTAAAGTTTGATGGGTTTGTACCCATACCCATTTACTTTGGGTTGGGTTGGGTTTATAACAAATGGATTTGGATTTGTACCCATGCCCAAATACAAATTACAGTTTGGTACCTAAACTTAATAGATATGCATATTTAGTACCTAAATTTAATTTTTTTGCATATAAGTCCTCAAAATATCGATGGAAAATTACGTTTTGGTACCTAAATTTTTTTGGTCTTACATTTTGGTACCTAAAGTTTTCAAGTTTTACAAATAAGTCCAATTTTTGCATGTATAGTTAAAACACCCTCAAGTAAATGGATATCCATATCCAACCCATACCCATTTAGATAATATCCATATCTAACCCAAACCCATATACAAACCCCAAACCCATATACACATCATCCAAACCCTACCCATAATAAATGGGTCTACTTGGGTTTGGGCAAAATTACCCATGGATGGGTAAATTGCCATCCCTATGCCGCAGCAACTTGACCAAGAAAAAGAATTCAACAGCAAATCAAGACACAAGTGCAGGAAAACGAGGCAACATAGTATGAACATTCTAGTACCTTTACAACAAGTGATCATCACTAAACCAGCAAGCCAATTTATGGCTCCACGCATTCAGCAGGAAAAGTTTCTTTGGGCAGTTCTTGTTATTTGTTGAAACAGTTGGCAATTATAGCAGAGCAGTACGAAAATTGAGGTCTTTTGGCATTTAGGGTTTCCAAATCTACCAAAAATCAAATTATTGATGGTTCCTGTCACCGTCGCTAGAAGCTAGCAAAACCATCGCCCAAAGAACCTTTTTCGTTGTGAACGAATGTCTCTACTTAATAGTTTCACTGAACTATTTGCTTCTGGATCTTATCATAGAGAGATATCCGCTCTCTAAGATTTCCAGTTTTCACACAATATCCACTACTCATCATAGACAAACAATACCATTACTCATTAGCAGCTAGCTCTGAAAGCGGCTCCATCTCCGATCTGGTTTTCAAGCCAAGGTCCACATCAGCTCTTTCTTTACCCTTGTTCTTTCTTCGTAATAGGAATCAGGTGGTAACAAATCCTCATCTATGAAAAGAAAAGATGCCTTTCGTTACGAAACAATTAGGTAACAACTCGTGACACCAACTATATGCACAAATCGTTAATTAAAAAAAAAGAGTCGATGATTGACCAGATCGACTATTTACCTTTGCAAGTTGAGTTACTACACCTCCTGAAGACGCAAATTTTATACTCGCCAAACGTCCAACACGCACAAGACACCACTGTTTGGTAAGTCTCAACGTAACTCTTACTGCTCTCATCCGACTCGTTGAAGCCTTCGAAAGTTACATAGAATATATAATAGCGACAAACACGCTGGATGCTTACGTTCAAGATGCCGAGTAGGATCAAGCCCTGACCCTGCAAACATTATTCAATTTAATTAACACGCATGTATGCTAGCTAGTGTACGTGCCCACGAATTACGTACCCACTTAGTTACCTTCTGTTGATTGTATGTGTCGATCACGAATTTTACGCACGTCTTAAGCCTCTTGTCATAGTCCCGAACACACATAGAATAATGTTCTCGTGGGTAAAGTCGGCCCCAATTTGACGATGGAGGGCAATCAACATCGAAACACTTCGCATTCGTTCACAAAGAGTCAGAATTCAGAAAACCCTAACATGGTGAAAATCGGAGTTGATTAATTATGATCAGTTTTTTTATGATGAGTTGAGTTACTTACACCGGTCACCTCACACTTCCTCCTGTAATGGATGACCCTTAGCATCAGTTCTTCGTCGCCCTGGAAATCGTCATCCTGGCATATATAATCGAGGTCATCGGGCTTGGGTTTCAGCTTCAGTTTATCGAGTTCCCGGCAGCGTTTGCACTCGCCATTCCCGTACCGGAGCTTCGGCCATTCGGGTTTCTTCTGATTAGCCATGGATCGATGAACGGCGGACGGCGGCGGCAGATCAAAGGCTGGGAACGAGAAGAAAAATGCTGCGAGTGGAAGGGGTGGCAGGGCGGAAGGAAATTAGGAAAATCGATCGGTAAAGGAATCCCGCGGCCAACTTAATGGAAGCTAAAACTTGGACCGGCCCAAGTAAATTAGCAATCCACGCAATAGGCCTGTCTATTCGGTTTCGGGTTTTCGGTTTAACCCGAACCCGAACCAATATAAACAGAGTTGGTTTCGGTTTTTTCGGGTTCAACCCGATACACACAGCGGCGGTTTCGGTTTACCAAAACCCGCAAAACCGAAAACCCGCAAAACCCGATAGCATCGCACGCTGTCGTCGTTCAGCCCTACCCTAGCCTTCAGCCATTCCGTCGCCGTCTCTTCGATTTTGGAAAACGAAACAGAGGACAGAGCCTCCTCGGCCCTCGCTTCAGCCCTTCACCTCGTGCCGTCGCCGCCATCATCGTCCTCAGCCGCGCCGCCATCATCGCTTCAGCCCTTCACCTCGTGCCGTCGCCGCCATCATCGTCCTCGCCGCGCCGCCATCATCGTTCACCACCATCAAGTATCAACTTCGCTCTTCGCGTCTGGGTTCGAAGCTTCTGTTCCTCCAACTGCAGGCACCGGCGGCCGCACAGGATACACTCCTACGACCAACCAAAGACAAAAACCAATTTCAGAAACAGGGGGATTGCGACAAAATAGACTTCAAAGGTTAACTCCAGACCTTCAATTCGATTGATATCAGAAGGATTGATCGGCGCGGCAAGCATCCTAACGCAGACTTGGTTTGATGGTGGGATTGATCAATTTGTGGTGGTGGTGGGTGGTGGATGATATTATTCCAGAGATGGGTTTGATCTATCTCCTCCAATCTCCTGATGTATAGTGGAAAAAGGGCGGTTTACTTGGGACTCTTTGATGTCAACAACACACTGGGTTCACGGGGATTAAAGCATCGTTGCCATGTTCTTCAATCAGTCTGCCTCTACACCAGTATGTGTGTGTACCTTACCTGCCAACAGAAAGCAAAATCAGAATGCAAAACAAAGGGAAAGTTGTGATCTAAAATTGAAGAACAAAGATGAATCAGAATGCAAAACAAAGGGAAAGTTCTTCAATCGTCAACCTCAGACTCTGCATGCGCCAAACAAGATAAGAAACCTCCCGTACCTTAGGTTGACGATTCCAGCAGCTGAAATTCTTCACCTCCGACGGCTCGCCTCCGCGTTCGTTTGAGAAAACTGGAGAACGATTGACGAAATTGAAAGAAGGGGTTCGATTATTGACGAACAAGAGAAAGGAAGGAAGAAAAAGGGGGAGAGACGAAAAGGACAAGGCGAAGAAGAAAGGAAAACCTCGAAGAAAAGCCAACCGAAAATGAGAAGAGGAAAAGGAAAAGAAACCCAGAAACCACCAGATTTTTTCGGGTTTCTGAACCCGCAACCCGCAAAACACAAATTCGGTTTCGGTTTCGGGTTTGTGGGAGCCGGTTTCGGGTTTCGGTTTTTTACGGTTTTCGGGTTCGGTTACCCGACCCGACCCGAACCGACAGGCCTAGCTGGAGGAGGAAGAGTATAAATAGACAGTTGAGAAACGGTTTAGGCATGGAGGATGAATAATCAATTGTATTAGTGAGATTAGATAGCTACTTTCCAATTCCATTTTCCCTCTTCTTCTCTATACTCTGTTCTTGTTCTCGCTGGAAGTCTTAATCCGATCCAAAGTCCTTACACTCATACATGGAAGGGAACAGGGGATTCGATTCGTCCCATCTCGGAAACATTGTCAATCATCTCGTGCGGAGTAAGCAAGCACCGTGGAGGTCACCGGTTTGGAGGGCCCGTCTTCGCCAGCGGATCTGTTGATGGCGCCGCTGTTGCTTGGATTTCCCGAGAGCAAGTTACTTTCAGTGGGAAAGTAAAAGACTGCGAGGGTTCAACTATTGGGGTGAGGCCGAGTGGGGTAGAGTAAGGGTCTAGGGTTTAATTAGTTAGAGGATATGTTGGGAATCTCACGATTACGTGTGAGTTTAATCCGAAACTCAATTAACGTTCGTAACTTCCTCATTTTATGTCCAAATTTGACACCGCTTAAACCGAAAGTTAACATTTTTAGTCCTCATTGATATTACGGTGGAACTTGACCCAAGGGTATAATTGTCATTTTGAATTTTGGGAAGAGCGGGGTGTAACAGGATATGCACTCTTCTACAGATCGTTTGCATGCTTAAAACAAGCAGCACTCTATTGCAAATTGAAGTCCGGAACACATTAATCACTCATTGAAACCGCGAAAGTACAACACAAAGCCTAACAACTAGAGCAATTATCATCACATTCTTCATCCTGCTTTCAAGAACATCAAACACATTGCTCATTTTCCCGAACTCGGATTCCATTCTTGCGTGATCCTCCTTGGTACTGATTAGTTATTCTAAAAGCAAATTTTTAGCCTTTTTCCTCCTTTCTGCCTTCATCCGAGCAATCCTACAACTCTCCTCCATTTCAATCAGTTTGGTCTTCAGCTCATCTTCTGATTCCTTCAAATTTTGGGTTCGTACTCATCAACCCACACGAAGAACCTGCACTTTGCTTTCAAATCCTACAAAAAGAGAGCTCCTCGGACATGTACAATAGATAAATCGAAAGGCCACCAACTAAACAAATTGTGTTACCTTCCAGTATCGACAACAGTAAAACTTTCGTCACGAATTCTTGTCAGTACCAGACACCTGCAAGATACATGGACAATCGTGGCATATAGGTCTCGGATCTCGAATCGTGTTGGTAGAAGAGGATGAACCATCCTTCGCAGACATGGGGATCTTATGCACCGAAGCTCGCCGGGTATTGGACAATAAAGTCGCCACGACGCAACGAGATCTGGGATGGAAGCAGTCAGGAGCCACGACTGGAGTTCTGGGACGAGGGAGAAGAATAAGTGGCGGAGAAGGAAGAGTTTTTGGTGGGGCGAGAGAGTCAGACCGGGGAGGGAATTACTTTGACGGGGAGAGGCTATCTAGACCTTGAATTAACATGATTTTTGGGCATGATACTATCCCCTAACCCTTAATGAGTGAACCCTAGGTCCTAATTATCTAAATCATAAATTATAAACTCTAAGATGGTGCATTGATTTTTTTACCTATATTTGGACGAATCACAACCGTCGATTATTGTTTCTAATTAAATTGATCTTGGGGTATAAGATTTAGAGAATTAAGTCCCAGATTTTGATATTTAAGGGATAGAGTATAGTATCATGTCCGAAAGATCCGTCAATTCAAATTATGGATAGACTTTTCTTACTCAAGTTATGCGATACCCCGAATTTCACTCTGTGTACGTAGAACGGGTATATATATGGGTATTAAATGGAGTATTTTGTTTTCTGTAGCAGTTATCTTTTATATCCGTGAGAAAACAAAAAAAGTAGCCAGCATCATCAATTTTAGGGTACGTGGTTATTCATCCCAAGGATATCCACCCATGGATAAATAAATGCCGCAGTAGGGATGGCAATTTTGCCCATAACCATGGGTATAGGGATGTCAATCCAACCCGTAACCATGGGTATCCTACCCGATCGTAACCGGTCAACGAGGGTAATTACCTGCTTTGACGGGTTAAGGGGCGGGTACGGGTAATATCCGGTTTCAAAATAAAGGGTAGGGTACGGGTATGGTAATCAATAATACCCGCCCGTTATACCCGCCCCGCTAACCAAAGGACCAATTTCCCTTGAGAAATTTATTTTAGCTTGAGAAATTGAGTTTAGCTACCATTATTGATGATGAAGATGTAGACGATTATTATGTTTGTGTGGATTGTAGAAGCAAGAACAATTATTATGTGTTTGCTGTTTTTATTTGTGTGGATTGTTGAAGCTAGAACAGTTACACGTATTGAAAATTTTTAATGGACAACAGTATGTATGTGCATATATGTGTATAAGTTCATAGTTTAGGATTCATACCCATGGTTACCCGAATACCCGTGGTTACCCAGTGGGTAGGGTATGGTTATATAATTTTCATACCCGGTGGTTATTTGGTCGGATATTTTAGAAAGCTCTACCCGGCGGGTTAGGAGTTGGTATAAGATAAACCCGCACCCGACCCTACCCATTGCCATCCCTACATGGGTATTTTACTACCCAACCCAATTGGGTTGGGTATGAAATCCAAATATATGGATATGGGTAAAGTTTGATGGGTTTGTACCCATACCCATTTACTTTGGGTTGGGTTGGGTTTATAACAAATGGATTTGGATTTGTACCCATGCCCAAATACAAATTACAGTTTGGTACCTAAACTTAATAGATATGCATATTTAGTACCTAAATTTAATTTTTTTTGCATATAAGTCCTCAAAATATCGATGGAAAATTACGTTTTGGTACCTAAATTTTTTTGGTCTTACATTTTGGTACCTAAAGTTTTCAAGTTTTACAAATAAGTCCAATTTTTGCATGTGTAGTTAAAACACCCTCAAGTAAATGGATATCCATATCCAACCCATACCCATTTAGATAATATCCATATCTAACCCAAACCCATATACAAACCCCAAACCCATATACACATCATCCAAACCCTACCCATAATAAATGGGTCTACTTGGGTTTGGGCAAAATTACCCATGGGTGGGTAAATTGCCATCCCTATGCCGCAGCAACTTGACCAAGAAAAAGAATTCAACAGCAAATCAAGACACAAGTGCAGGAAAACGAGGCAACATAGTATGAACATTCTAGTACCTTTACAACAAGTGATCATCACTAAACCAGCAAGCCAATTTATGGCTCCACGCATCAGCAGGAAAAGTTTCTTTGGGCAGTTCTTGTTATTTGTTGAAACAGTTGGCAATTATAGCAGAGCAGTACGAAAATTGAGGTCTTTTGGCATTTAGGGTTTCCAAATCTACCAAAAATCAAATTATTGATGGTTCCTGTCACCGTCGCTAGAAGCTAGCAAAACCATCGCCCAAAGAACCTTTTTCGTTGTGAACGAATGTCTCTACTTAATAGTTTCACTGAACTATTTGCTTCTGGATCTTATCATAGAGAGATAGCCGCTCTCTAATATTTCCAGTTTTCACACAATATCCACTACTCTCATAGACAAACAATACCATTACTCATTAGCAGCTAGCTCTGAAAGCGGCTCCATCTCCTCTGGTTCTCAAGCCAAGGTCCACATCAGCTCTTTCTTTACCCTTGTTCTTTCTTCGTAAGAGGAATCAGGTGGTAACAAATCCTCGTCTAGAAAAAGAAAAGATGCCTTTCGTTACGAAACAATTAGTTAACAACTCGCGACACCAACTATATGCACAAATCATTAATTGAAAAAAAAAAAGAGTCGATGATTGACCAGATCGACTATTTACCTTTGCAAGTTGAGTTACTACACCTCCTGAAGACGCAAATTTTATACTCGCCAAACGTCCAAGACGCACAAGACACCACTGTTTGGTAAGTCTCGACGTAACTCTTACTGCTCTCATCGGACTCATTGAAGCCTTCGAAAGTTACATAGAATATATAATAGCGACAAACACGCTGGATGCATACGTTCAAAATGCTGAGTAGGATCAAGCCCTGACCCTGCAAACATTATTCAATTTAATTTACACGCATGTATGCTAGCTCGTGTACATGACCACGAATTACGTACCCACTTAGTTACCTTCTGTTGATTGTATGTGTCGATCACGAATTTTACGCACGTCTTAAGCCTCTTGTCATAGTCCCGAACACACATGGAATAATGTTCTCGTGGGTAAAGTCGGCCCCAATCTGACGATGGAGGGCAATCAACATCGAAACACTGCTCATTCAAAAAAGAGTCAGAATTCAGAAAACCCTAACATGGTGAAAATTGGAGTTGATTAATTATGATCAGTTTTTTTATGATGAGTTGAGATACTTACACCGGTCACGTCACGCTTCCTCCTGTAGTGGATGACCCTTAGCATCAGTTCTTCGTCGCCCTGGAAATCGTCATCCTGGCATATATAATCGAGGTCATCGGGCTTGGGTTCCAGCTTCAGTTTATCGAGTTCCCGGCAGCGTTTGCACTCGCCATCCCCGTACCGGAGCTTCGGCCATTCGGGTTTCTTCTGATTAGCCATGGATCGATGAACGGCGGACGACGGCGGCGGCAGATGAAAGACTGGGAACGAGAGGAAAATGCTGCGAGTGGAAGGGGAGGGAGGGACAGGGAGGAAATTAGGAAAATCGATCGGTAAAGGAATCCCGCGGGGCCAACTTAATGGAAGCTAAAACTTGGACCGGCCCAACTAAATTAGCAATCCACGCAACTTATAAATCGTGTATACGTATCAACGAGTCAAATATTATGAAAACCATAAATAGCAAAGTAATTTGAAACTCTTAAAAATTTAAATCTAAATAGACTCGTCTAAAGAGCACACAAACCAAACACCAAATAGCTGCGTCATTTTGTAGAGTGCGGGCTAAATAGCTATTACATATAATTAGACAAAGAAGAGACAAAGAAGACGGTATGAATTCACATATTAAATAAACGGTAGAAGTTGAACCATACAGGAGAAAATGTAGTTGACAACAAATGTCTCTACTTAGTAGTTTCAGTACTAACCTATTGCTTCTCATAGAGAGACAACACACTACAACAAAAGTGCTGTTTAGTGACGGTCACACGGACTTTTAGCGACGGTCAAAACCGTCGCTAAAATATTTAATGACGGACACGTAACCGTCGCCGACCCAGCAGTCCTTAAATTTTATAGCGACGGTTTTTGTCGACCGTCGCCTTGACCGTCGACAAAGTTTAACGACGATCTGACCGACGCCATTTTCCAAATCACCGTCGCTATATAAATTTTCCATAAATTATTTAAAATTTTTAGCGACAGAATGTGACCGTCGCTAGATCCGTGACCGTCGCTAAAGGCACTGTATTTTAAAGAACCACCTGCTCTATTAATAACAGCCCTAGCCTGCTGTGATTTTCCATTATTCTAATGATCACATCTGAACATCAAATCCACAATACACTACTCTAATAATCATAAATCCAGAATTGTAAATCCATTCATAACCCTTTGAATTACCATACCAAAAATATAAACCATCAATCCTTACAAAAGTACCATCAAATCTAGAATTGTAAATCAGTCAAACCACTTACAAAAGTTCAAAGGCTACAATCTATAGTTCAATACTATCTGAAAACTAAAAACTTATATTTACCCCTGCAGCCCTTCATTAACTTGCAGCCCTGCCATTACCAAAAATAAAAAACTTGCAGCCCTGCAAATTAACAAAACAATAACAAAGATTCAGTCACAAATCCATAAATGACAGACCATCATACAACAATGCGACCGTCCAAATGAAAACTTGAATCATCCATACGATAAAATCTTAAGGAAAGCGAGGCCTTCTTCTCAAGGACAGGTTATGATAGTTCAACTTTCACTAGCAAACAGGTTTTCCTAGCACAGCATAAGAACTAGGATCCCAGAAAAGAAACAATCAAAAGTTTGGTCCAGATAAACGAAATCAAGAAACTAGATGCTAACCTTTCCTGATAGAAGGTTTGTTGAATGAAGAACAGAAGCCTGAAACACCAGAAAGATAAGAGGAACATGAGATTAGTCTTCACCGATCATTTGCTTGAATTGTAGGGAAAACTGAAGCTATTCGGATGGCTGAAGAAGCTGAGCTTGCTTTGGTAATGCACACTCATTTAAGTAGAAAAAAAGCTTGTTTTTCCCTCCATTTCTTGAGTCAGGTAGTACCTTTTAAGGAGTGCTACTCCTGCTGTCTCAGACCGTCAGTCGAAGAGTGGAAAAGTCACCGACGCCTTTCCATGGCTTATGTCTAATTAACAATGTTCAGGGAAGGAAGCCATTCCCAATCACACTACCAATAATAAATAGGCATAATCTCAGTCAGAAAATGATGAAGCCTACCTACAATCTGAAATTTCCAGTACACTACCAATAATATCATAGAGAAATGATAAGTAAACACCCCAAGATAGAAAAATGCAAGAATAGAGTAGTTTACCTATAATCTGAACTTTCCAGTACGGTCTGTGAGTAGCTTTATCATTAGTTACCATACCTGAAAATCAAAGATATGCCCATGGGATATTCATTAGAAAGTCATATACAAAAGTCAAATAAAATTCTGGAACAAAAAGTTTGATTCATGCAATTCTAGAACAACCAAATTCAGTCAAACAACAACTATTCTGGAACAAAACGTTTGATCTGCTGAGTGTATCAAAAGTTAAGGGCTAGGAGATTCCATCTCTAGTATCACCTGCACAAACCAGAATCCAGAATAACAATTGAGCAAGGGGCAAACAGTCAGTGCTCCATTTTATAACATCTAGTGACTGAAACCATCACAGAAGGAAGTAGAGGAATAAGTAAAGCTCCTGGTTGTAGGTCTGCACAAAAAGGACAAGCTGTTTGTAAAGCAGAAGCATAGCAAGATGATATTATTACCCACGAGGTCTTAGCAAGTAACATACTGCATTTCACTGACAATGGATGAAAAACAACTAGAGAACCTACAGGCTCAGGTTACAGGGGAACACTATTAATTAGCAATAATACATATAGAAAGGATTAATGCCATAAGTAAAAACTATGCATAAGCATCTTGTAAAGTGAAATCTCCCAGGAAATTCAACACATCAAAATAAAGTCAACTATGCAACCACAAATAACAACTCTTATCCTTTGCAAAGTAACGTTAAGTCGTAGGCCAGGGCAACAAAATTGGAGAAGCACTTACAAGGAATAACGACTGTTATCTACACAAGAAGCAAATCAACAAAGTTCTAAAGAGCAGCATCAACTTAACAAAATTGAACATTCAACAGAATCACATCAATTAATTAAAGATACAAATCAATAAAGTTCTAAGGAGCATCGTCAATAGAGCATTGCCCTCACCTGCATTAGATCTTATCTCCACACATGCAGTCAGTCTCCTAGAATCGCAACTCCAAATACTTCTTCCCTCAGTCATTTAAAAATGTAAGACTAAGCTTTAGTTCCAACTATGGTATACAGAAGTTGCTGACCTTTGGTATACAGAAGATGCTGACCAGACAAAGTAGTCTCGAGGGAGCAGAAGGTGCTCCAATTCTAGCAACAACCCACATAAAAATAAGTCAGGTCCAAGACACTTTAGCATGGGAAGGGGTTGTCGAAATGCAATCAATCAAGTAGAACAAGGGAATTAGAGAGATGAATGATGACCTTCATTATGCCAAGGTACCCTGCATCTAGAGCAGAGAGCACATCTTGATGAAGAGGGCACATCTAGATCATCCACTGCATAAAAAAGAACAATCTCTCTAAGAGACCACACAGAAAAGGGGTCCTTTCTCATGTTAAGAGATAATAAAGACGAGTCCGTACCCTGAGAAACACTCTTGCACTACAACTCAGTTTCCCTTCCTTTGCAATGGGTGCAAAGAGTTCGTTCCAAATCCCTGGTTCAACATAGTAATGGGAGACCAAACTCATGAGGTTTAAAAGTAAGAACCATTCTGCTGGAAGTTACATCTCCACTTACAAATTCAATTAAGAACCATGAATGCATAAACATCATATACCCAGTGAAAAAAACAGATTGAAGAAGCAACAGAGAAGAAGTTATACTTTTTTATGTCAAGGTACCCTGCTATGATGCCTATAAGAAGACTTACCCCTGCTGTGATGCAAGCAAGATAATCACCTTGACTAACCCTCTCCTGAAGATAACAGAGCAATCCATACATTTATAAGTAGGGATTTAGAATCAAATCTACTTGTACAAGGAAACAGTAGTAGCCGAAGACTTCCATCAACCTAGTAGCCCTGGGAATTGAACATGCAAAAACAACGAAAACAAATTGAACCCCAAAATGACAGATTCGCCACAGCCAGCGCTCTACCACCAATCAGTAAATACTCATCCTTGAAAAACTCGAAAGAGAGCATGCAATTATAAAAATATCAGATGCATTAGGGGTCGGCTCAGAGTCAGATCTGTGAACGATCATCTTTTAATCCCTTAGCGATTGACACTGTAAATTGCGCACGAATCCCGGTTCATAACAATGAAGTTACAAATTTAGTGAAGATATTCTGGTGGCAGTACCTTTATCGGTGGATTGTATGATGGATGCTCAAGCTGCGGCGGTGGCGGTCAATCCTCAAGCAAGAACACGGTCCGATTAGAGAACATAATCAAAACCCTAGGAAAACAAGAGGGAGAAGGAAGACATGAGAACCCTAATTTCGCCCTCTCTGTTTTCTATTTTCAGTTTTATTGGCTACGAATCTTACATCTGCGTCAGCTATGACCAAGTCACCGACAACCTCTCGCCGCCATGAGCACTGCGAAGATCTGAATCCACCGTCGTCGAGAATGTCCGGTTCTACAAGCATCGTCGTTCAGAACGTTAGCGGTGACATCGGTGGGGTCTTCTAAGAGCAGAGGGACAGGCGATCTAGATGTGACGTACGGGTGAAATAGGATCTTCTTTGATGGATCAAGAAACGTTCCCGATCGTCATCCTCTTCCCTTCCACCGCATATATCGTGCTGTCGAATAGGATCTTCTTTCGGATCTCGCCGTCGGGTGAATTTCGACGAAAAATACGTCGGACGCTCAGGACTCACCACTAAAGAGCGCGACCGAAAGGATTTCATCCACATATTGTCAGGAACTCAATGCGCTTGAGAGAAGGAAAACAGAGCCATGAATTTGGATTTCAAATAAATTTCTAGGGTTCTCCAATTTGGGGATCTCAAAAGGAAAGCAGAGAGGATTGGGACGAGAGGGTAGAGAAGACAGAGACGATCTGACGGTTTATTTCTTATATATTTATTTAATATAAAAAATTATAAAATACATTTTTTATTTATGAAATTGGCGGAACACGAAAGCATGGACAAACACTTTGCCGACGGCCTATTGACGGCCAAGTTTTGGCGTTGAAACCCGGACATTTGACGACGGGCACTTGGAATGTCACCAAGTCAATGTCGCTATATCAATTCTTTCTTGTAGTGACAGCTCTAAGATCTCCACTTATCAAAAGATAACCAGTACGCATAGACAAAACCATAGTATCACTCATCAGTAGAGCAGCTAGCTCTGAAAGCGTTGATTCTTCCGATTTATTTTCAAGTCAATGTGCATATCAACTCTTTCTTTACCCTTGTGCTTTCTTCGTAAAATGAATCATCAGGTGGTAACAATCCTCATCTATGAAAAGAGATACGCCTTTTGTTACGAATAAATCGACACCAACCATCTGCATGAATCATTCACAAAACAAAACTAAAAAAGGTTCAACAATTGACCACACGTACCTTTGCCGGTTGAGTTACTACACTTCCCGAAGATGCAAATTTCATGGTTGCCAAACATCCAACATGCACAAGGAACGACTGTTTGGTAAGTCTCGACGTAGCTCTTCCTCGCACTTTTCTCATATGCCTCATTGAAGCCTTCGAAAGTTACGTAGAATATGTAATAGCGAGAAGCAGGCTGGATGCATACGTTCAAAATATTGAGTAGGATCAAGTTCCGACCCTGCAAACTTTATTGGGCATGATTAACACGCATTTATGCTAGCTAGTGTACGTGTATATCTCTCCCTACATATGTGATGATCAGCGAATTACACCTTCTGTTGATTGTATGTGTCGATCACAAATTTTACACACATCTTAACCCGCTTGTCATAGTCACGAACACACATAGAGTAATGTTCTCGAGGGTAAATTGAAGAACAATGTGACGATGGAGGAGGGCAATCAACATCGAAACACTATTATTCAAAAAGAATCAAATTCAGAAACCCTAACGTGGTAAAAATCGGAGTTGATTAATTACGATCAGCTTTGGTGATGAATTACTTACTGTTTTCCGGCGAGGAAAAAACTTGTGTTTGATTTCATCAATGCACCTTTGACTTCTTGGAAAATGATAATTACACGGTCCACTCCTCTCCAAATAATGTTCGAACGAGGGTGTTTGATGGTTTTGATGGTTTTTTGGGAACAAACTACGTTACTCTACTCCTATGGAGGTTCAGTGAGAGCTCTGAAAACTAAAAGCTGATTTGCAGGGAAAAGATAAATTTTGACATAGTGTGTCAAATGATTGATTGTGGGACCTTTGCTTCGTTTTCGTTTATCCTATTTAAAGTCATCGCTTGTAACCGTCGTACGACCGCCTCTTGGTAACCGCTGCTCCACTGCTTGGTGCTTGATGTAGTTTGCTTGACGCCTTGACTGTCTTGCGTGCTTGCCACTTGATGACTAACCCCTTGTGCCATGGAGGTGTCTTGTTTGGTGAGTGAAGGTTTCGCACTTGGTGGTACTCATGCTAACCACCTTGACACCCTAGTGCTTGACCCCCTTGGACGGTGTCATGCATGACCCCCCTTGCGTGATGTCGTGTTTGACCCCCCTTGTGCTGGGTCTCAACACCCCTTGTGCTTGACCCCCTTGGACGGTGTCATGCATGACCCCCCTTGTGTTATGGGTCTCAACACTTAGCCAAATTTTGGCTCTCATGGTATCACGCTTGACCTCATGCATGATTTCCCTTGTGCTTGACCCCCTTGGATGGTGTCATGCATGACCCCCCTTGCGGTGTCATGCTTGACCCCCCTTGCGGTGTCATGCTTGACCCCCTACACTTAGCCAAATTTTGGCTTTCTTCGCCACCACGTCTGGGGGACTCGCTAGACTAGCGTTGCCCTTCTTCACTTGCCAACATCGACTCACCTTGGATGGCATCATGCTTGACCCCCCTTGTGCTTGACCCCCTTAGACGGTGTCATGCATGACCCCCCTTGTGCTATGGGTCTCAACACTTAGCCAATTTTCGCCTTCTTTCCCATCACGGTCTAGCGCGATGACCCCTTTTCATGACATCATGCTTGACCCCCCTGGGACGATGTCATGCATGACCCCCTTGGACGAGATCATGCATGACCCCCTTGGACGAGACCACCTTGGACGAGGTCATGCATGACCCCCCTTGTGGTTGGGTCTCCAAACTTGGTCAAATTTCATACCAAGGGGTGGAGGCATCGTCCGGCTATGGAGGCCACGGAGACGGGTCGACCATTGTACAGAGAAGAAGGGGTTTGGCCACTTAGGCCCAAAAACCCAACCCAACAAGGCCCAGCTAGCCCTTTTAATCATTAATGTTGAGCTCGCCTTATAAATCACTACCACTCCTTGAAAATAATCAATGTGGTATTGAGTGATTTTTTTATTGGTAAACACTTACACCGGTCACCTCACACTTCCTCCTGTAATGGATGACCCTTAGCATCAGTTCTTCGTCGCCCTCGTATATGTAATCGAGGTCATCGGGCTTGGGTTCCAGCTTCAGCTTATTGAGTTCCCGGCAGCGTGCGCACTCACCATAGCCGTACCGGAGCTTCGAAGATTCGGTTTTCTTCTATTTGGATCTGCTAGAGCCCAGAGTATAATATGGACTTGACCTTGATTTGTTACATGGCCCACTTCTCATTCAAAAACATTAAAAACAAAATCGAAAATTAAACTCATAAGTCATAACGGTATTTAGAGCAAACGTCAAAAGGTTCATCCATAATCCAATTTTCAAAACATGAGGGTTTGTCAATTATCACGTGGGTTTCACTTTTATGTGAGTAATTGTTAGTTTTAGTTAGCCATAACACCTTATTTTGGTATGAATTTTGATGTAAAAGATATTTTTGGTATGAACGTTCAAATAAAATAGTTTTATTTGAATTTTGAAAGAATAGATAAATTGGACCCGTAATGAGGGTTAATTGGGAATATTTTGATTGTCAAACATTTCTTTCGTCTATAACTGAATATTCAATTAAGAGGTGGTTGTGACGCGTCTTTCACATAATTTATTTACGAAAAGGGAAAATAAATTATTTTAGCTTGAACTTTGACGCAAACCTTTTTTTGGGCTGAACGTTCAAATAAGACAATTGTCTAAATTTGGAAAGAAGTAGACAAATTTGATCCGAAATTAGGGTTGGCATTGATATTAACTTTCAAACATATCTTCCATCTATGACTCAACATTCAATTATGAAGTGGTTGTGATGTGTCTTTCACGTCATTTATTTATAAAAAATAGAGAATACCTTATGTTGGCCCGAACTTTGATACAAAGGAAAATCTTGCCCTATATAAATGACGTCCTAAACGTTTTCTTGGAAACTGAGATAGATTAATAGAAAGATACTTTCACTGGAAACCATCCTGAATTTGTATGAACTTCTTCAAATATTCAAATACTTCCACTTCAAGACTTGACAACCCTGAGAATTTCCAATACACACTGCCAACAACAAAAAAGTAGTTGCATCATCCTTCTTTATCAGAGATCATGATTGCTGCTTTTTTGGCACTAAGTATCCTTCAAAGATTCCAAGTACATCTCAATAAAGTCATTGAAGGGAATCATTGCGGTGTTGGAACGACATAGATGATAGTGTTGGGTGTTGGATTGAATAGACTCTAATACCAATTGACGAGAGAGAGAATCTTGGAATTTGAGATTGATTAATAGAAAGATATGATTAGGAGAATTAGGCAAAAAATAAATAAATTATCGTATGAGAAAGAATTGGGACTGTACGATACTTGAGAATTTGGGGGTTTGGGGGGGGGGGGGGGGGGGCTACAAGAGAATTCACAAGAATTCAAGCGATGTAGTACAAAATAAGGCAGAGAAAACAAATTAGAGAGGGTTAGAGAGTAAGAACAATGAGAGATTTGAGACAATTGATTTAGTAAATCTTCTGTTTATTCTTCAATAATGTAACTGAATTAATAAAGTACCTGAATAATTAATAATATAAAATTAATTAAAAATTATTCATCGAACACTGACTTGGCAGCCTCCCAAATTGATTAGAAAATGCATCAACACAAGTAATCTCACAGCTACCCCTATAAATAAATCCATATTCCAAGAATAATTGATAACATCAAATTAGTAACTAATTGATCATTACCAGAGTAATATAATAGTGATGTTGAGAAGGAAGGACTATTTAATGGCAAAGATAGATGTTTTAGTGATGAAAATGAAGGGACTGTTATTATTGGTTATGAAGATGTTGTTTAGTCGATAAATTAGTTAGGATGTCAGATAATTTTATGATACTTTAAATTGGTATCACTGTTATTTCATGCTCTAATTTGAATTAGTTAGGATGTCAGATAATTTTATGATACTTTAAATTGGTATCACTGTTATTTCACCACCTTTCATGCTCTAATATGAAATTCGGAACCCCTCATTTCAATTTTTATTGTTATTTCAGTGCAACGCCGGACATTCTGCCGCCGTTGACCCTTACTACGGCGGTTGAAAACAGAACAGGATCAAGTGACAGGTGAGGTTTTATTATCGTACAACTTTTCGTTATCCAACTGGCACGTTGGGTTCAGATCATGCAGTATTTCTTGTTTTTCTTGTTTGTTGCATGTATAATGCAGTGGTACTTTAAATTGGTATCACTGTGGTAGTGGTACCAATAACAGTAGTCGTACATGTACCAGTACAACATGTAATTCTGGTTTACAGTAATTCTAGTTGTACATGTAAAAGTACCACTATATCTGGTACCTCGTTTGAATGATTCATCTAGTTGGTATTGTAATGTTTAATCAATATGTCTAACAATTGTAGGTTGGTTATTTTGGTACCAGGAATGGCGAGAACAAAGACTCCATGCGTCGTGTCGACGGCAAT